ATATATTTTCCTTTCTTAACAGTAAAATTAATAAATACAATAGATTGCTATTAAAATTGTTAATAAAACACACACACATTTTAGCTTTCTATATTTTTTAAATTTAAAAAGTTTTGCCTTTTTTGTTTCCAAAAAATTTATTTTATTAAATTTATAACGTAATAAAAACTAACCTTTAAATATAATTCTAATAAGAAAATGCGGTTTAAGTCAATCAGTGCAGCGCAACTCCATATCTAAATAGCATTCACTAATCCACTTATGCCTCCTACAAATAAGAACGATCCAAATAAAGTACAAAATATGTTAGTTTTGCTATGGAAGGGACTACAATCCGGTGGGATTTTTTCTAAATTTATTTAAATCTGGGCGAGGGAGGGGTTGGTCAGTTTGTCCCAGGCAGCACAAGATACGTCTCAAAATAAAGGAATGAATTTGATAAATAATTTTCATTCTTGGGTACATTCATATCGGAGGTAGAAAATATGATGTGTACATTTTAAAGTGGAATACAATAGATATTTAAATTATATGTTATTACATTTGTGAAAAAAGAGATGTTGCATTCTCTTGTTACAAATATGTGTCTGTTCATTTTGCCCAAGGCAATGCAAGATACTTTGAAAAAGAAAATAATTAATTTGATTATTAATTAACCTTCCTTGGTACATACTTATTGGAGCTAGGAAAAAGGATGTGTACATTTTTAAATGGATGACAATATATTTAAATGCTAATGGTATGGGTATATTCATTTTTTCCAAGACAGCACAAGATAAGTCTCAAAATAAAGGATTGAATTTGATAAATAATGAATTTTCTTGGGTAAATACATGTCGGAGGTAGGAAATAAGATCTGTAAATTGTTAAGCGGAAGAAAACAGAGTTAACTCCTATTGTATTACATTTGTCAAAAAATAAGTTGTTACATTCTCTTTTTACAAATATTGGTATGTTCATTTTGCTGAGGGCAATAAAACATACGTCTTAAAATAAAGGAATTAATTTGATTAATAATTAACCTTCTTGGGTACATACATATGTGAGATAGGAAAAGGGATGTTTACATTTTTACGTGAATGACAATATATTTAAATCCTATGGTATCACATTGTGAAAAATAAATTCTGTGTTTACAAATAAACTTATGTTTAATAATTAAGAAAATCAATGGCGTTAACACATCTTGGGTACATTCATATATCCATGAATATCAACACTCAATCATTTTACACACTAGAATTTTTTTTCCTCGACTTTCTGATAATATAATATAATTTTTTTTTTAAAAAGGGAAAAATGTGTTAACATTTATGATGAATATCAATATATATCGAATTCCTGTAATACAAAATATATTTATTGTAAATTTAAGATTATTATTATTTTTTTTTTATTATTTTTAGAGAAAAAAAGTTGTAATTCAAGGGCAGTAGAATAGGTAAATCTAATGTATTTCTCTAGCGTAGTAATTGTCCCTCAATTAACTTCTTTAGTGACAAAAGTGATATACTTCGTGATAATTTAGACTGGGTAATTTAAGGCCATGTTTAGAGGGGGAAAATGGTTTAGGAGCGTGGAAGTGTGTAAGGGTACGCGTATCATATATAGCAGATAAACACTTCTCAAAACTTAATGATGTTAAAAACGTAAAAATCATTACATTTTAAAAGTTATGAATGGGGATGAGTTTTTGCAATAGCAGTTAGAAATTATCGAAAAGGACCTACCATTATTATCCCGATAACTTCGGTACATTTATTCCAGTATATAATATTAGTTTTATTTATCAGTATTTCCGGCTTAGCTATGTCATTTCGGTAATTCCCTGTCAAGCAACACACAGCGATTACATAGCGTAATAAAGCAAACTCATTGATGGATCACGAGTTATAAAGAAAGACCAGAGCCTATAAAGTTGAAATTTTTCAAGGCATTTATTCTGATGCACTTGCCGTGCGCTGACAAGTTGGTGTTTTTAATTTATCATAATTATCTTAAGTGACCTAAAATGACCGAAGGCTGAAATTATGGTTTCGCTGTTAATTTGTTTCGCATTTTTTATTTCATGATACGGTGTGCTTTTTTGTTTAGTGAACGTGTTGGGTATCATGATTAATTGAGTATTTTGTTGTTGACATTTTGAATGCAAATGAATGTATGTATACATGTGTGTATATCAATATATAAATATATATACATATATATATATATATAAATATATATGTATATAATATATATATGTATATATGTATATATATATATATATATATATATATATATATATATATATATATATATAATTTTTTATATATTTAACATAATAAAAATCTTTAATAAAAATACAACAAATATCTATTTTTATAAATAAAAAATAAAAAAAAAAAAATATATATAGATATATATATATATATATATATATACATATATAATATAAATATATATATATATCTATATATATATATATATATATATATATATATATATATATATATATATATAACTTTTGAAATATTTAACATAATAAAAAGCTTTAATCAAATTACAACAATTAGCTATTTTTGTAAATCAAAAATAAAAAAAAAAACTTGCCATTGCTTCATACGTCCATGGTGAGAAAGGCCGACAATCGCGAAGTCTTATTTTTACTTCCTTGTTAATAGAAGTACCCGTATGCAATCAAATTTAACAATTTCGCCATTTCAAGGTACGTCTAAATTTCATAATTATTCATGGGGATTGGAGAACCCTCTCCAAATCCCTTCAACCGTTTACAGACAATAATTCAAGAATATATTTAAGTCCAATGAACACACCTCCTCACACCCAACCCCCACTTTTAAGACAGTATTAGAAAAGAGGAATACAAAAAAATTGCATGAAATAAATACAGAGATAAAATTCGAAATCACTTTAGTATTAAACTATTGCATCATAAATATGTACATATCATTTCGGTAATTCCCAAATCTTTTATGATTACCAGTTTCCATTTAATGGCTTGTCCGCCATGTTACCAAAATTACTTCAACAAAACGTTTTTTAAAACATAAGTATTTGTCTTGTCAATCCTATAAATGATGTTAAATGAATCGAATTTATTCATCTTAATGTGATCTGGGTAAGTTAAAAGTTAAAATGTAGACATTAAGACAAGTTTAAAGTCAATGATGAATTTAACCCTTTCGTGGCAACACACCTTCTTCTTCTTTATTTTGAGGGCCCACGATCAATGAATTGATCATTCTTGCTTCTATGTTTCAGAGGGGTATTAGGCACTTTGAGGAAAATTAATAAATATTTTTAAAATATAAAAACACTGCGTCTGTATAGAGCCCATGGACTGGTTTACAAAAACACAAAAACACTAAGATTAAGTTTGTAGCTTAAGTGGTTCAAAAGTATTTTTTTAGTAAGGACTTCAAAAACACTTGTTCAAAATGGGATTTTACTCCACATTTCGTGAACCTCATATTGGTATTGTTTTTATGCCTATAACTTTGCTATAAAATGATACAAAAATATTATATTTACTGAGAAAACAGTTACGTATGAGTTCTTCTAAACAGAGATACAAAAACAATTTTAGTTTTTGTTATTATTCCGCAAAAAATATTTTCAAACTTAATAATTTTACTTATTAAAATTAATAAAAAATCTTCTGACTCGTCACTTATTTAAGTTAACTCCCTAATCTTTTTTTATAAATTTCCCTAATTTAATAATAATAATAACATTCTTTAGATATTAATTTCAAATTTTATGTGGAATTGTTTAACATTTATGGTATAAAAAAATAATACTGGGTTTATTTAATTCATTTATTTAAAAATGACGATTATTCTTTTTATTTTAACATTTTCTATATATGTTTATTTAGTCAGATTTGAATATGATCAAAAACAATAGTTTGTTCTTTTTTGAAGTTTGTAAAATTGTTTCACAATGGGAGTCGCTTAGTCAATTATTTTGTCACGTGATGTGAGTAAAAACGAGTAAGATTTCCGGTATACTGTATACAGCACACTAGTGCTTGACAACAGTAGCCCGATACACACTACAACTACACTACATTTCGTCCAATGAAAATTAACAATAAAATAAACAAAGGGGAATGGCTCCTGCATCAATATTGAATAAAAACGCAAATGACGTCATGAGCACGCACGGAGCTCAACAACATCCGGCCGATAATAGTTTTGATAGTTCCCATCGAATATCGCTCACAAATTTTTCTTGAAATAACTTTCTTCCTTTAATCATAAATGACGTATATTTATTGTCACATTTATGTATTTCATTTAAAAAACGCTTGCATTCCATAATATTACGAAAGGTAAAATTTATAATTAATATGACATTGGGGAAGCACTGGTGAAATGCTGGGTGCTGGGTGGCCGAGCGGTCTAAACTGTCTCAAACCAATTAGCCGTTGGTCCGGAGTTCAATCCCCATCAAAGCCATCCTGGGTGGATGGGACTCGTTGGCCTTGGACGGCAACCCATGTAAGAGAAGGCAAACTCTGAATTAAAACCAGGAGCCAGAAGGATCAACAAATTGATCGTGGGCCCCTCAAATATAAGAAGAAGAAGAAGAAGTATCTTTTGTTGTGTGTAGCAGCCTAGTGATAGCTTACTCACATCACGTGACCAAACAAGGAAGTAATAAGGAAGTGACTAAGCGACTCCATTAAACATGTATCAACTTTGGATGTTTGATAGGAATTAAAATAAGCAGTAGTAGTTTGCTAAAGTATGTACAAGCTTATATGAAAGAAAATTCTTGGATTACTGTTATGTAGACAATGTGTTTACGTCATATTTCCAAGTACTGTGAAATCTATCAGACACCAGTTCAGTTGCGCTATTAGTAGCTTGTGGCTTACTAATTATAGTCTTCCCTTTAACCTCGGCTATAATTTGCTACAAACAATAGTTTGTTAATTCTTAGAACATTTTAGACATTTTTAAAAGATTTTAGACATGATTACAATACGTATTCTATTCTCAAAGGAGAAAAAAAGCCGATGAATTAAACCACAGAGACGAGAGTTATTTTGAGCGTATGCATTTGTTTTTCTATAGCAGACAGCGATATGTTTACGATGTTTGTGTAGATTCCTTTTCACAAATGCACCCTTTTCGCACATTGTGTTTATTCAATTTTGTACTGGTACAGGAAAAACATTATTCTGTAACTCAGTAACTTTAATTATATTTCTTTTAATTTTGTAATGTAGAATTAACTTAATGAAACTTATAATTGTAATTAGCCCTGGTTTGCGTATCGTATTCTTGCAATTGCTTTTAACATATATTTTGTCTTTTGCCATGTAGGCCTACTGTTTCACAAAGAGCCATACATTTAATTTAAACAGAGATTAAAGTCTCCACACTAATAACACTACGAAGCAATTATTGTATCAGAACTAGTGTTATTTCTTGGAGAATACTGAGGATTATATATTACGTTTCTTGTGGAATGTTAGAATTTGTAAGTGACTACAGGATATTTCAATACCAAAGGTAAGTGGATATTTAAAAAAAAAAAAAATATTTTAATTTAAGAATAATAATTTTCAAAAAAAAAAAAAATATGATTAAATGGCCAAAAATAGTATTACCTATAATAGGTCCTGCAATAATAAGTTGGAATGGCACTAGAATTTAAAAAAAAAAAAAATATTTTAATTTAAGAATAATAATTTTCAAAAAAAAAAAATATATGATTAGATGGCCAAAAATAGTATTACCTATAATAGGTCCTGCAATAATAAGTTGGAATGGCACTAGGCCAGTACTATATACTTATTACGGAGACGTGGTTTAAGCAGGTCGGAGATGAGGTCAAGCTGCAAGAAATTACACCTCCGGACTACCTCCTTCATTCCTGCCCAAGGATGTCTCGTGGTCGTGGGGGTATTGCTGTTCTTTACAGGAGCTCCCTCAAGAATAGTTTGGTGTTCTCAAAATCAGACCAGTTTGTTTCATTTGAGATGTGCAAGATGCAACTTAAATTATTGTGACCAAGCGATTACGATTCTGTGCATATACAGGCCACCTCTCAATAAACGAAATAAGTTGAAGGCCTCCCAGTTTACTGCTGAGTTCATAAAACTCCTAGACACGTACGCCTCTACAAATAGCAACGTCATAATAATAGGTGATACCAATTGCCACTTTGATTCCACCACTGACAGCTATGTGAAGACTCTGAAATCAGCTCTTGACACACATAGTATGATCCAGCTTGTCAGTGTCCCGACACAGAAGAGGGGTCACATCCTGGATTGGCTAGTTGTCAGAGGGGACCACGCAGCCGTCATCCGCATCCTCCTTATTGAAGATAAAATGATCTCTGATCACTTTCCCATATTCTTTGACCTTGACTTGAAGAAGCCAGGGTGCCCTCTGCGCACAATCACACCTCGTGACCAGCGAAAAATTGATCTAGTGACCTTCAGATACAACGTCGCCGCCCTCAGGTGCAGTGAAAAGGACCCAGCTACATCCTACAACAGTGGCCTCCGAGTCATTTTAGACAAACATGCACCACTGTCCACACGGCACGTTGCGGACCGCCCTTCCACCCCATGGCTCACGCCTGAAATAAAGGAAGCGAAGCAGAAGCAGCGACGAGCAGAAGGCTTAATGGCGGAAGTCGGGTTTGACCGTGAACCGAAAAAACTTTGTTGACCAAAGGAAAAAACAAAAAGTTGGTCCTTGCAGCTAGGACTGAGCATGTTAGCCATCAGATTAAAGCCAGCATTTCAAGCAAGGACTTATTTCGCATTGTGGGTCAGCTGACCAGTAAAAACAAGTCTTCATCTCTGCCAAATAACATTGCTGTAGAAAAGCTCTCAGACGCTCTAAATGACTACTTTATTACAAAAGCTAAGAAGATCAGGACGAAACTTGACAGTTGCATCAATACTGCTCTAGAATTCTCACTCTTCAATGGCTCTTCTATGGGTGAATTTGTTGAGTTCAGTGACTCGAATGTGAGGAAAATCCTCGCTGATACCACAAGAAAATCATGTACGCTTGACACTCTTCCAGCAGGGCTCATTTATGAATGTCTGGATGAAATGTTCCCCATCATCACCTGTATCATAAATCAGTCCTTAGCTACTGGTATTGTTCCATCATATTTAAAAGAGGCGATCGTCACACCACTTTAAAAGACTAAAATCTTGACCCAAATGTCATGGAAAATTATCGCCCCATCTCAAATCTACCATTTATTTCTAAAATCTTAGAAAAAGTCGTTCTCCGCCAACTCCTGGATCACCTCTCTCAGTTTGACTTGTTTGAACCATTCCAGTCAGCATACAGGGTGAATCACTCTACTCAGACAGCCCTGTTACGCGTCGTAAACGACCTTCTGTCTTCTTGTGATGACGGCCAGGTATCGATTTTGTCTTTACTCGATTTATCGGCAGCTTTCGATACGCTCGACCACGGCATACTGCTCCAGCGTCTGCAAAAAACATTCTCACTGATACCGTCCTGTGTTGGTTCCGATCGTATCTGACTAATTGGATCCAGTCAGTTATTTCAAACGGCTTGGCCTCGAAGAAATCTAATATAAAATTCGGAGTACCCCAGGGCTCGGTCCTAGGCCCGATGCTTTTACGATGTACATTCAGCCCCTGGGTGCAGAGATCAAGCAGTTTGACATGCAATACCACATGTTCGCAAGTTCGACCATGCTAAAACACTTCTGAGAGAGTTGCATTGGATGCCGGTGCGTGCTCGCATAGAGTACAAAATCGCAACTTTGTGCTACCTCTGCTTGCATGACTTGGCTCCGTCCTATCTGAAAGAGCTGCTGACGCCTTATGTACCCACTAGACAACTCCGCTAATCCGATAGTGGCAAACTCTCAACACCACGTGTTTGGCTTGAGACTTACGGAAAGCGCACTTTCGCATTTGCTGGTCCAACAATTAGGAACGCCCTTCCTGTAGTTCTCAGAAACAAACAGACACTGGAGTCCTTTAAAACCGATTTAAAGACACATCTATTTCGCAAACACCTTCTGGGATGATTGTCAACATTATTTTCCAGTTAATGCATAATGGCTGTGTTGCTTATGGTTGAAATGGCTAGAAAGACTTTGCCATTGTATGCTTGTACTTAGTTTTTGTCGTGTTGCGTTTGTTTTAAATGTGGTAAACTATAGATTTGTTTTTTTGTTGACTTTGTACCGCGCTTCGAGCCTTTGGGGATGAAGCGTGTTTTTGAAATGAACTTTATTATTATTATTATCTGGTTGAGATACCAAAGCGGCATCGTCCGCAAACAAGAACTCCCGCATCAAGACCTTTCTTGTTTTAGCCTTAGCTCTAAGGCGGACAATGTTGAATAATTTTGCCGTCATCTCTAGTGTGCATGCATATCCCCTCGCTGTTGTTCTGAAAGGCATACTGGAGTAGGATGGAGAAAAAGATTGCAAATAAAGTAGGAGCCAGCACCCAACCTTTCTTTACTTCACTACTCACTGGAAAAGCTTCTGAGGTGGCACCGTTATAGCACACTGTGCCCTGCATGTTGTCGTGGAACTGCTTTATGATGTTAAGCAGTCATGTACATATATATCATTGTGAAATCGTTTACCTTTTTATTTGCTTAAAAATATAATGTCCTTATTAAGTTGTTTACATTTAAAAGCATAAACTCTTTTCACAAAATAAAAACATTAAATATCAGGCTTAAGGTTCACTATAAACATGAGAAGATTAAATGTGTATCGTTTTATTTATCTGAGGACCATCAGAAATATCAACGTTGGTCTCCTCATTCATCAATGATTTTTGGTAATTTATCTTTTTAAAAACAAAATTGAAGTGATTGTATTCGTCGTTTCCATCTGGATTGCCGATTTAATTAAAAGCATACTTGATGCATTATTCAATTTTAACTACATTTTATACTATCGATGAAACTTGCCACTAACCAGGGGTTATACTAAAAGACAATTGCTCTTCAGACGCTTTTTGATGTCATTGAATAATAAAAAAGTCACAATTCGTTTTCAAAACATAGAAGTAAATTCTAACCTCCATTTTTTTTTTAATTTTGGAGTAACGAAATAAGTATGCTTTTTTAAAAAAAAACAGTATGTTAAATCCTAACTGTTATGTTTAACACATTTTCGTTAATAGTGTTAAAACTGCTAAGTTGTTTGCAAATAGTATCATAATCCTTACATTTATAAGACATGTAAAATATCCTGTGAGCACTGTCGTAATTCACGGAAAGCAGGAACAGATACAAAACATGAACCTCGAAAAAAGCTTACTTTACTTGACTGAAGATCGATCTTGGCATGATCAATCGTCACAAGTGTTTTCGCATTCTGTAAATTCTATACTTTATAAACATTGATATCAATTGCTTCGACCTCATTTTCCCCCCTCCAAACTATAGATACTTTTAATGCATATTCTCTTTCATTCGTCAATTAAAGCAAATATTATGTTCATGAGGACCCTTGACAAATCTTCATCACCTTTCTTTGCACAATATAATCTTCATATTCTAGATTTATGTTTTGTGTTTAACAATGTGTAATTTTTTTTTACAAAAATGTTCTCTTAATTTGAATTCGTTATTCGTTTTTATTAATCTAGTCTCAATAAAAATTATTAATATACTTTTAATATTTTTTGTGTTCATTTTTACAGAGTAATCAACATCTGAGCAGTTTTAATAATTTAAAGTACCCAGCACTGAATTAAAATGAACATCCTTGTAATTTTATGGATTTTTACAAGATTTTGTAAGTATATTCGTGGATATATTTACCTAAACCAGGGGTCTCAAACTCAGATTATTCGGGGGACGCAGCAGGTAGAGTATGAGTGAGACTGGGTCGCAAGTACTCCACACAAACCGATGATAAATTCAATAAATTACACTTGTTACAATCTGCTTAACATTTATATTAATAACAAATAAAAACAGTAGGTTTTCTCAAGAAATAGGCTTCACTCACTTTCTCCCACACCTTGTTGCCAGATACTTGAAAGTGCTTATTTTTACATAGCTGAGCAACATTTGGCTAAAGTAAGGAAGCCTCTGAGACACTCAGTATAGATTGAAGATGCTCATCAGTAAGTTTGGCCCTGAACTTTGACTTGTTAAAGTTCATAGTGGAAAAGAGTATTTCACATGAATAATTACTCCAAACAAGGCACATGATCCGCTTGAAAAACCTGGAAATCTCAGAAGAGGTGGAGGGCAATGCTCTCATAAATTGTATAAGGTTTACCACCCAAAACTTAGCCTTGAATTTAAAATCAGCTACATTTTAAGCGCAATGGGGTATCTTTCACATTGAAGGGAAAAGGGTCACATAAAATGTAAAAAGTCTGGAAACTATAACAGACCAAGTTAACCACTTCTGACACGAATGTAACAATGCTTGGTGTGACATTTTTAACTAATATTTTGATTTCAATTTAGTCTTTGGCCTGCAGCATCTAAACGTGTGATCAAATTATTTGTGTAGCTTTTCAATGCCATCAGTATACTTACTACTAAATTGTGTGCCGGAGTCCATGAGTACTTTGCATGTTCGGATATGGCAGAGGTTTTTTTGAGAAAGATGTGCTTTCCATAACACATGTTGTGTGCAGAATGTCCTGATATTGCTATAGGCAACACTGACAAGCTGCCCCGGGCATTTTGTAACATTTTGTTCAAAACATTCAGCACCTGTGTAATGTCACCAAGAAAAGCCAAGTCCATGAGCCACTTGGGATCACTTATTATAGGAACAGCCTACCCATCCTTCTCCATGAAGGCTATGGTTTTCCCAATCAACTTAAAAAAACCTGTTCATGACGTTTCCTTACTAAGCCAAAATGCCTCGTTGAAGTAGATAGCATCCTCTTATTAACTCTAAAAAGGTGCGGAACTTCCAGTGGTTTAAGCCCCTGGATCTGATATGGTTGATGCATTTCACGTCAGACATAACATTGTCAAACTACAGGCAATTGCAGCAGAGGGCCTTTGATGGAAGATTCAGTGTAGAGCAACGGCCGTTTCCACACCCTCCTCTTCCAATTTTCTTTTAACCTGTGCCACGAGTCCATTTATTTTCCCAGTCATTGAGGGAGGCCTGTCGGTCGGTTATTTTGTCCACGGTAAACCGGTATTCACAATGGCATCACACAGCTGGCGGAATATCTCCTGAGTATGGTCTGGCCATGCTTTGGAATTACTTTGAACACATCCTCCATCAATTCAAAATTGTAATCAACATCAAGGAAATATGTTTCGAACTGTGCAGTGTCAGTAACGTTTATGCTCTCATCAAGAGTGACTGAGTAAGCATGAATATGTTTACTCTTCTCACACAATTGATCTTAAATGTTACCTGACAGGTCAGAAATGCATTCTGCCACTTTTTTCTGAAAGGCTGATGTTGATAATCTGACCTTTTATTTTTTCGGACAAACAATACTTGTAACATTCAATCTTTTATGAACTCTCCTTCTTTGAATGACTTTCAATCGACTCACTCAGCACGTAACTAGCTTTAACTGCTGCATCACTTTCTTTTTTTGCTTTCTTGAAAAAATCTTGCTACCTCAGTGGACTTGTTTTAGATTTAGTAACCCCAGTCTCTCTCATCCCCCTGGTATTAAGCCCACTCCTCAGCATGTCTAGTTAAATGATGTTGTGCATCTTGTTCACCGCAACTTTCTCGATGCATGTAAGGCACGATGGAATGTCCCAGTCTTTAACAAACCGTTGTCCGTCTCCAACTTCTCCTAAAATTGTCTGTGTTCATTGCCGAACTTTGTCTCTACAGCAAGTTTTGAGAAACACAAGCCTGTGGTCGGTTGTCACAAAAATGCATGTGCACAGTGTGATAAAGTATATGTCCCTCCACTTGGTAACACTCCCGAATCATGTATAACAAAACTTTGCTATTTGAGTGTCTAAGAAACCAATATAATAATATGAGGCTGCAGTAGTCAAAGAGTTTTTTCCCAAAACTTGAAATACTTTCTGAAGCATGAAATATATACTGCTCGATACATTAAAATACAATTTTATATGTTGGCCTTCATGATTATTTCAGTCTTATCTCACCAAAGCTAGTTTTGCGCTAGCGTTGAAAAAAGACGGTTGATAACAATGACCTTTTGTCTGATATTGAATCAACAAACATTTTTATACACTTTTTAAAAACATCAACTAAATCTACATTAATTTTGTGTAAAACAATAACAAATCACGACACACACTTTTGTTGGCCTTATTTTTGGAACTAACTAAAATGAAATTAAAATGCGAATAGTGTGCACCGCTTCACCCCTAATCTCCGCAAGTAGACTCAGTCGGCATTACGCCACGCCCAAATTCTACATTTAGACCCGGCCATCACTTTGCGTATCATTGTTAGCGAAGTCATATCCTTTGTAAGAAAGTAAAATTCCCAGTTGTCTAAAATCAGCTAATAAATGCTATTCAAATAATGAGCTTTGAGAAACCTTGACGAGCAAGCATATAATAAAAAAAAATACGGTTATTCCCACTAGCGACTTTAACACTTTAAAAAACGTGTTGAAACAGAAGGGCATTAGTTATGAATTATTGTTGCGAGAGAATAGCTATTGTGTTAGATTGCTACGATTTACATAATTATGGTTGTGCATTACCCACTTTTTAATATGTTGATTTATATATATAAATATATGCACATATATATATTATAACATTCGAAGAGTGTTTTCTCAAAACCACCCTTTGGTCATGTTTTTCTCATAAAATGCTATAAAATAAAAACGTTCTGATTTTAAATTAAAACGAAATTTTACCACTATAATGAACGTCCAAACATTTACAATCATAATAAAAAATAAGAATTAGACTAGTCGGTAAGATTCGAACTTAAACCTTCTTGGAGTGTCACGTTATAGATATGAGAATTGGGAAAACAGCGGGCCGCATTAACACTAACCTTTGCTGTCAGTTATCCGGCCTCAAAATATTGTTTTGCGGGCCTCCAATGGCCCGCAGGCTGCAAGTTTAAGACCCCTGACTCAAACAGTCAGTTTAGATGTTATGTAAGTTTTCAAATAGTTTTATTTATTTTGTAAAGATACTAAATTATAAATTAGCATAGAAATGATGACCAGAAAAACGGTTGTCAGATATGTAGGCCTATGCAATTGTTGGTTGCAACATTTTTTTTATTAATTGCGTCTCGATAGTTATCCTACTTATTTTGACTGAATCATTCGTACATATAATCTCACTGCGTAAAGAATATATACGTTTATATGATTTATATCAACCATTTATTTATTTTACATCGTTATAATAAAATATCAACTTGTTTTATGGTGTATTGAATTAATATATTATTTGTTTGAAAAGTCAAAAGTATATTAAGTATATGTAAACAATATACGTATTTATCGGCGTATAATACTAATACGCACCTCATTTTAAGAATGCTGTGATTAAAATTTCTCGCTGACAGACTCGAAATCGTTCCTGTAGCAGTCTTTCCTGATACTAGTATAGCGTTATTGTTTTGTTGGAGTTCAATCATGTGTTTTCCCATTTCGGCAGTGAATCTATATCTATATATATATATATTATGTATATATATATATATACATATATATATATACATAATATATATATATATATTTCTTTATTTTCTTTCTTTCTTTAATTGTTTTAACATAGGGATACTAGAAATAGAAATTCATTTTATTTTGAAAAGCATTAATACATAAGATAATTTGCAAGCTACCTTATGATTGATTACCTTCCTGGTATACCAATCGTTTGTCTTCCATAATTAACACATGAGAACAAAACTCTTTTGCAAGGCTCCCCTGTATAAAAGTAGAAAGAAAATAAATTAAATTTCAGAACCGCATCGTCAATCCCAATGCGCACTCATGTGCAGGTAAATTTAATAAATATGTATATATTATATAATAGACTAATTGATTAAATCTATTTTATATAGAATGTGTTTTGTTCTTTCCACTCAGGTAACATACAAAACCAAGAAATAAGTGTGTCTGACTACAGCCAAGAAGACAGTGAAACAAAGTGCACCTATGGTCTAATCAATAATCTTGATACATTTATGTCAAAATGTCAAGTGGAGTTATTTAAAAATACTACATTTAAAACATTGGAATTTCAAGTTCAAAAAAAACAGGATGCTAAGTTTTTTCCTGTAAGCTATGAAGTTTTATATTTGTATTGTCTACAATTTTACCACTTAAAAGAAACACACTTTATTTTTTAACGTAAAAGAGCAAAATTGTATAAATAAATGTAAGTGTTGGGCCGCAAAGCTACTTTTAAAGTACTTAAAATGCATAACATTTAAACCTAAAGATATCACTTAGAAACCTTCTTTTATGAGACTTTGACACCTAGCAACGTTTATCTCATTATATTAAATAGTATAAACTATTATTCAAGTTATCGTGTATATTTTTTGCGGAAATATAATTCCTTTAGAATTAAGTTTAAATCAAGGCTATTTTCAAATAACTACTTCTTTTATCATTAGGTATTGCTTTGTAATAAATTTTGTTGAACGTATGCCTTTAGAAATAGAAAATTACCTTGAACATTTCTTTAACTGAATTTTTACCATCTTACGTTTCTGTTTTCGTAAGATACGTTTGGTATTATTTTAGATTTTTTTCCAGCATAAATTTAATTCGTTAGGCTTGTAAGTGAGATTTGTGTATTTGAGAGATACTTAAAAATACATTTCTAAATGATTTTTAAATTGGCTATCAATCTAAAATGCTGTAAAATATTATAATGTAAATTAGACACATTGGTGATTTAAATTGTTCATTTTCAATTGATTTTATCTTTACAAAGAGTCTCAAATAAAACAAAATGGAATCTTTGAATATAAAATACAACTTGAAATTTATTTAACACAAATTAAAAAAATAATAATAATAAAAACATGAATCCAATTTATTTTTCAAAGTTATTTTTTCAAAATAAACACATCATTTCTTTAATTAATTGTGCATTTTTCTGCAGCTATCACATTTTGATATACAAGAACAATCGTCTGACAGTCATCTATTCAACTGTAACTCCAGAAGAGATAACGTTACCTTATGTACTCTTAAACAGAAGGCATCAAAAGACTACGATCGAGCAAGATTCCGCGTAGCTTTAAGATATGGAGTTTCGAGGCAAATATTAAGCGACGTACACATGTATCCGACAATAACAGGTAATTTGAATTTAATCATTTTTAATTTAAAAAATTGATAAACAAATCACATAATTCAAATTATATTCAATCTAAAAATCAACATTTTATAAGTAGTTTATTATACATTTTGTCTAGGGCAGCCTTACCGAACATTTTCTCTGTGATCATGTATTTTTATAAGTATGCTTTCCAACATACATTTGTTTTCATCCTTTATACTGGATTATATGTAAAACAGAACTGGTTTAAAGGTCCTTACAAATCCATCTATATATATAAATCAACAGAAGTAGGGCAAACAAGATCACACGCGAAAAAGTCGCAGGCAAACCCTGCACTCCCTCGCCTTGTCTGCTCATCGTTGGTCTCGTGACATGCGCTACCGCCCCCTCCAGGACCACCCTTGCTTGGAAGCCAAGCTCGCGGCGTATGCTAAGCCGCGGGGCGGCGTGAAATATAAAGTGTGCCGTGACGTATCATGAAAAAGGTGGAGGGGGGTAAGGGGTGTAGCAAAATTGGCATTCTTAAAAGTGCGTAACTTGACTTCACGTTTTTTTCAAGTAACTTAGATGGGTAGTTCACGCATTGCTGTCGCCAATGTTTGGCGGTCTATATTTAGTATATTATAAAAAAGAAACATTTACTTTTGCAAAAGTTGTATAGACAAAAAAGACGCATCATAATCAATGTATTCAAAAAAATTGTCAAGTTTCATGCTAAATATAATTTTTGGTTATAATGAAAAGTTGATAACGTTATACTGAGATATTGTTCTCTTTTCAAAAGGATTCAATATTTACTTTTGAAAAGCCAACTTCACACAGTTTGTGACAAGGGTCATTAAAATTGTTCGATTTGCATCTCTTCCACGTAAACTGGGTGTTATGCATTGGCTTCTCTTGTGAGAAATTAATCTCCTATTTTAAATTGATGGCTCGTTCAAACAGTGCCAAAGAAAGGATAATACCATTGACAAATAAAATAACAAAAATACGACCCTAAAACTGTAACAATTTAAATTAATAAGATTTTTTTTGATTTTGCTGGCAAAATGTGACGAAGGAATGGGCATCGGATGACGAAATCCACATGGCCTGGGATTATCATATGATGATGCAGCTTGGCACCAGTGACGTAATAGGAGTTGTCGGAATGTTTCATTGTATCAATTTTATCCGCCTTTCCATCTCCGGGTTTGATTTCAGAGTTTCCCTTCTCTTATGAATCCAGGCCATCCACGAGCCACATCCACCCTGGTGATGTTTTTGCTTGACTGGGTTCTGGCTGGAATTGAACTCCAGGCCACCAACTTAATATTTGCTCAGTTTAGACCACTCAGCCACCCAGATTTAATTTAGCAATTATACAATGACAAAAGAAATATAATTTCAAATAATTAACTTACAGTATGGTAGATCTTGTACCGGTACACAGTTAACACAGTTAGTACAATGTGCCAATGAATAATGATGAATGATCAATGCGAATCAACTCGTATAAGTATAAAACAAATAATAAAGGTCACGTGAAGTTAAAAAAAATATATATATCAAACTCTTCTTCGTCTGTGCCTGTCGATCATTATTATATGTGGGTCTACTGACGCGTCTAGAAACGCCCTTACTTTTCTAATACAATCAAGAACGTTCCATAAGATACTAGTAGACGAACTAACAATGTTTAATTGGATGTCGGTAATAAACAAGATACATCAAAGGGATTTAACCACGCCCACAACAAACGTTACTGTCTGCTAGGAGTCTAATGCGGGAAAAAGAATTTTCACGCACGGCGAAAAGTGTACCACATAACACTGGGTAACCTTATTTTCATTGCACCAAAAATCCATAAAGTACGTTCTGTAAAAGATAGTTTGAAGTGCCTCAAAAAAGTTCCAAAGGAATACTTGCCATTTCTAAAGTTTCAACGCTTCGCCGTCCAAAGAATTTCTCCCTACCAATATTTATTAATCTAATTGTAATTGAAAATACTTCCAGATATATTTGTCAGAGATTTATGTAGGAACATAATTTTTAGTTGTGTTGTCAAAATCTTTTCTCACAAAATATATTTCATTTGGATTTTCTGAAATGCTAAATCTTTCATCAAACTTCAAGATAGGAAACGTCATTATATTGTGAATTAAGATAATTTTTGAAACTATTTGCCATTTTTACACGTTTAAGATTATTTGTGTCATTTTGTAGCTATATAAATATATTAAAAAAACAATGTAGTCTATGATTGTAAATTGTCTATGAGTTAGATTTCCTACTCAGCAACCACAGAAAAAAATACATATTTTCTCTACAAAGCTAACGTGTAATCAAGACAAATGTGTCCTTTTGCAAAAATGTGTATGTAGACACAAAACACACATGTAATGTCTCGTTCATCCCGGCGTAAAATGGTAAAATTTGACAAGTTTAAATGATTGAAAAGCTGCGAGTCCAGAACTTTGCTAACCAGGTTATATAAATAAAAAATATCCAGACCTGCTTGTTTATTAATGTTTAAAAATTATGTTACCACCATTTCTTTCCCCAATATAACAAACTCTTCTATGTAACAGAAGGACATTAAAAACACAAACACCATTTTTTCCCTCATAAGGAGTATCACATGTTACAAATATAATTTTTGCCTACCGGAGCTGTCTCGAAATAACAAAAGTGTCAAATAGGTTCACAATATAATGGTAAAAATATCATAAGGTTTTATTTCATTCGTTCTTTTCCTTCATAGTACCAAGAACCATCCTATCACTTTCAGTAATAATTTTTGCCAGCTTCTCTTCATCATTGTCCACACTACACCATTTAAACTCATCTCAAACAATGTCTACCCTGGTTTAGTTTCTCGTTCTCTAATCCCCTTGAATTTTACAAAAGACTTTTTGTGTAATTTCCACTGCTACCTTTAGAGAAAGTCCATCAATTTTAAATTCAGTGGAGTTTTTTACTTCTTCAAAATCTATCAACGATATGTGTACGTCATGCTTAATATAAGAGTAAGTTTTTTAATGTCCGGGGAAATATATATTCATTATCATGCGTCTAAAGTCAGGGCAAGTAGGTTTCGATTTCTTATCAACATATTAAATATTAGGGGAACTACATCCCTGTATATTTTTAACCCTGCCCACTTGACTAGATATTTTTATAATGTAACCCTTCTAACTGATTGAGGTAGGCTATTTGTACGCATGAAATGTTAGAATTAAATCATCCGTATGATCGTGTTTTGCTGTTTCTTTTCGACCATATCATCTTCACACTTATTTTCAACCTAACTTAATTTCTTTTCTTCTTTTAAGACCCATTCTTCGCAACGTTTTATCTGGCTTAAGATCTCTTAACGTACGATTAATTTCGGTAATATGCGGTCAAAATGTCAATAACTTTTATAATTAAAATTGGTGGCTGTCAGATAATTACTTTACAAAACGAAAGAGACAAAATTGGTATGTTGCCACACAAATTAGCACACAGATTAAGCCACAATTTTTAATAAATATCTACATTAATTTAACAATAATCCACAATGGGACATAATTAATTATACGATTATTAAAGATAATGTCACACACATTTTATTACAGAAATAAATGTGTTATTGAAAATGAATGAGCATAATTGAAAACAATAAAGCTCTTCGAAGCCTAAGGTAATATTCTTTATGGAACTTCAGTCTGGTAAATCACCGTTTACTTTGGTGATGCACTGTTCTTCACTTTAAAGTTAATTTTAGCAAACATTCATTTTAAAATGCTTTTGAAGTTACATTTTAATCTTCGAGAGGTCATCCCTTTATATGAGTTATGTGAGTTCTTTTGTTTAGACCAATCTGTGACAGGCTTTGGATGGGCTATTGATACTTTTTTTAGAGCTCCAAGACTTACTTTATTGATTGTCGAACGTCTAAATATATTTGTATATTTTTGGACAGCTATTCGGATGCTTTGGGTGATTCTTGGTTTGCCTTGAAAACGTTTATGTTGAACCGACGAGTTTTGGTTGGCTTTGCACAGTTACCTGCTGTGACTGTAGTTTGTCTATCATTTGGGTTCCCTACTCCACAGTAACAGAAAAAACACAACTCTTGCCTCTTGATGTAGTGAAGTTAATTGACCTATTTTAATGTAATGGCGGGATCACAAAGATATAATAGTAGATTATTGTAAAGCTTTATCTACCGGGATTAAGTTGCTGAACCAGTTTAAAAAAATACACAAATGTAAATAACGCAATGAAGATTAAATATGTATCATGTATTGTAATACTATTTATTGCCCGAATAGGACATACATAAAAGAAGTCTTCTTTGCACGAAATACAACATTTAGGAAACGCACACAAATCATTGCCTTGTTTACATCATCACTTTATAACCTTGACCACACATCATACACATTATTAAGTCTAGAGAGGCGCCTAAATCTAACAAATGTGTCAAATAGATGACTAAAATAATAAAAACAAAATGTGCATGCAATTTGTTCATGACAGACTAATACTCAAGTACTTTAAGAAATTTTAACAAACATTAAAAGTAACATTAATTTATAAAAGTGTCAGATAATTTCAAATGTAATATATAATGAAGAATAAGCAGTATTAATGAATGTTAATAATGTGGATACATTTTGTTATTAGAAAGGCTGTGTTGCATAGAATAACTACGAATTCGAACTTGGTAACATAGCTGTTAACAATTAGATATTGTTAGTTGAAATGTGGGCAAAATATATGTACAAAAACACTAACACTGGGAGATAATTTAGATCTTTCATGAGCTCTGCAAAAATGGTATTGAACCTGATATTCTCCTAATGAAATTTGAAAAATTGTGCTTACACAAATTGTTTTAGTTTTTACTGGATAGCCCAAAATTGATAAAGAAGCACTATGATTATAATTTTAAACACTAATAAGGCTTTTAAATTAGCACGGGGCAAAAAACATTGTTTATGAACATCTTAAGATAGCCAGAGCTCACCGTATCGGTTAATAAAGTTTGAAAACTTTTTTTTTTAAAGTAGGGGAAAGATAAATAAGATCTGCTTAGAATTACAATTAAGTTTCGTTTTGATTTTTATTTACGTTACAAAAATATTCATTAAATTTTAAAGAAACCTGAATTGCTACCCACAATGATTATATTTTATTTTATTTTACAGATTTGAATGATACCAAGTTACAGTTTTTAGTCAATGGAGAGGAAATAACACCGCAAAAAAATAAAGATGGCTGTGTGATGAATACATTCAAAGATGACATAATTTTTATTGACTATTTTTGCAAAAGTAAAGCAAGACCATGTTTAATAGAGGTAAATTTAAATGAGAAAAATATCAGTTTTTACAAAGATTCTGCTCATATTTCTCTCCAAGGACTATTTGACGCAAGGAATCAAATAAATGTGACGGCAAGATTTGCAGCATGCAGATTAGAAGGCACACAAAATTCTGTCACCTGTACATTTCGTTTAGGTAAGATTGATCATGGTTATTTTTTAAAATTAATTGTACCCGAAGAGGTTCACCCTTGAAATATATTATCGGGAAATCGTTATAACGAATTTTTTTTGTTTAAAAAGAAACTCTTATCCAATTTGCATGTCCAAAGCATTGTGTTTATTAATAAACTATTCTTTATCACATAACAGTTTTATAAGCCCCTCAAATGTAGTTTTCGCAAGATATACGAACAACTATTTCCTTATTTTGAAAGAAAATCGTAACCCTAGATGTTCACGCCACTGACATAATGTATGTTTAGGTATTCGTTCTTAAAAATATGTTTCTAAAGATTAAAGATTTCTAAGTCTTTAAAATAATTGGGCATTTGGCTAATGGTATCAAAATAACTTTTTAACATAAATATATTGTTATCCTACTACACATGTGCCTACCCCTTTTCCTCAACCTTCAAAAGTATATGTTGTGGAAATGGAAAAGATGCGATGTCCTTACTTTAAAAAAAATCGTATCCAATACCTTCCCCATTCTACATTCACCGAGGTTTGAAGTATGGGTATACTTATGAAAATGTGTCAGACTGACACTGAAGTCTTTCAAATCAGAATTGGAAACCCATCTCTTTCGCACACACCTGTTGGAGGGAAGTTGTATACAACATATCTCCAGCTAGCTATTATTTACCAGATGTATATTGCCGTGTGGTGTATATGGTTGTAAGGGATCAAAGAATTAGACTGGGTATACTTGTATGCATATTTTGTATTGTTGTCTTTGTATTTCAATGTGGTAAAATTAAGATTGTTTTCATTTTACTTTCTTATATGGATGACTTTGTACTACGCCTCGAGCCTTTTGGGATGAAGTGACGTTTTCAAATAAACTTTATTATTATTATTATTATTATGAGCTAACACTCTCGAACGTCCTTTTCTACATAACTGAAACACATATTTATTTATTTTAAAATAAAATCTAAAACGCTTTTTCTGAATTGTAGAGCATCGAATTTTAATATATTGTAATTCACAGAAAATTTAGCACAATCTCTTTCCTCCCTCTGAAAATGTACATTAGAAAATGAATTGAGCGAGCGATTGAGCTAGTGCTGAATTCTTTATACCCTCTACAAACTCCCTCGCCCCCCCCCACCCCCTTTTTTAAACCAACTTAAATATTTTTACAATAGAAATTTGAATAAATTATTTTATTCGTTTTAAAACTATCTTTAAACCCATTCCCTTTGGGTAACTTACTTGATCTTTAATATATAGCTTTAATTATCAAATGTACCCACCAATTATGTGGCATTTCTTCAGCTGCATGGGGCAAATTGCAGACCCACACCCGAATATGTTATTAGCGTTTATTAAGTAACTACCCTATTTATGACATAAGGCTCATTGTGCTTAGATTTTCACTACATATTTAAAGGTCCTAATCATTTTTTACTAAGCAATGTAATTACATTTTTATTTTTAATAAACTCATCATTGCTTATTTCCGCATATACTTTTTTTCTAAAACAATGTCTAGATAAAACAAATGTTTTGCCTGCTTAAAAATCGTTTTCTGATGCAATAATTTTTTTTGTTCCTTTCTATTAGATCAAAAAACCGTCACCGAAGTCGTCATACAAAACTATATTTTATACGGACTTTTGGTAATGTTGATATTAATCAACATTGGGCTGCTATTTATCACTTTGTACAGAAGGTGAGTTCATTTACTGTAAAACGTAATATGTATCAGTCTTTCATGCCTTCATAAGTTATTTTAACATCTGAATATATGCAGTACAAGCCATATATGCATCCTCACTCAGGTTTGTATTAGGGATTGAAACTTTTCAAACATTATCATTATTATTTAAACATTATTTAAATAATATACCCTAATGTTAAAATTCAAATTTAAATTGCCTTTTATGAAAAAAGATAGTGAAATATATCGTGTAAACATTAAATTTGGGAATTATCACGTTTCAATACATATTTAAACTTGGAAATATATAACCATTTAATATATAAAGCCTATAAATATATAATTTTAACTTTTAATTGATGTCTTAAAAGTGTAATAACCTATTTTAAAGTTATGGCCATTTATCAACTAATATTTTTTCAAGGATCCCGGGCGCCAGAGTTGAAAAAAATTAATCCTAAATATTTTCTAGCAGGAACCGATTTAGGAGAGATGATAAACAAAAGTTATTTACAATGTTTTCAAATTTCAAAAGTTCCAAAATGTCAAAGATAAAGCGTACCACTTTAAGCACATTTATGCCTCTTTCAAAAATGTGTGGCTATCATTATTTTAAAATTAATAGACTTTTTGAATAGGATTTTGATAGCAATGTTTTCCATATAATTTGATTAATATGTTTAGATATTGTGACGTGACGTAATTTGTCTAGGGGGTCGGCCCCTGCGTACTAGCCACAGAACAATTTTCAAGGGTCTAGAACCCCTGTTGTCTAGCCCCTACAGAGCTGATGTTCTGAATAGTCCAAGTATTTATTAAAAAAACGATGCAAAGCTTCAGGGTTCATAGGATTGATTTGCCTCCATCTTCCTGACAGTGGAAAAATGCATAGTAAACATCCGCTGGTTTTCAGAATACAAAATTTGTGTCCAGAAAAATGCTGCACATAATATAAAAAATATATTTACAGAAGTCCTCTGGCATCCATGGTACCAATTTTATTTTACATCTATCCATTAATTGTAATGATATTTTTGTAGCTCCTATAACGAGAAACGGTCCCCAAACCTGTAAGGGACGTTAAAAAAACAAAATGAAATGACGTCGGCATTATGTCCTGGATAATTTGTGAAATAACTAACTGTTTATCCCAAGTTTGATGAAGTTCCATTAATCCATATAGTGACGTATGGGATACAAAATTTTCTTAAGATTATGGTAAATAAAAAATATACCAGAAAAATAAAGGTATAAGTAACTTAAATATAACATACAACTAATTAAAAATAACAATGTATATATTAATAAATACCGCAATAGCGTTTTATGATGAGTATTGTTTTTTACTTCTACCGTTTCTTGAACCTTTTTAACTGAAACTTTACCTGATTTCAGTGACGTTGTTTCCCTACATGCAAATTGTTGGAAGAGCCATACACTTGCAATCCTCCCTTCCACAACAGAATTATAATAGAAATTTAAAATTTAAAAAAAAAAATTAAAAAAAAAAAAAAGGATAGGAAAATACTTTGGTACGTCAAAACACCATTATGAAAGCACCTCAACTGTTCTAACTCTAATCAAATGTTAAATCCCCCATATATCATGACATATACTATAGTTCCCTAATATGTATTTCGGTCAATTTAAAGAAAATGATTGCAATATAAAGGTATTTTTAATGGAAAAAAGTATTTGAAACAAATTGTGAAAGTCCATTGATATGAAACAATTATTTAAAACTTATTTAATATGTGTGCATCAAGCAAAATCGCACAACAAATCGTCCATTAATACATGTTTAAAAGCGAATTGCTCATAATAAAGGCTTTAAGTTGTTCGTCAGTCTGGAGTCGACCATGACCACTTTAATCATTAGAGTTTATGCTGGTTCTGTCTTTGGGTGCGCAGAGGGCTAATGAGGCCGATTCTGGCACGAAATTCGCTTGTGCAGTAGGTGAAGAGGACTGATGGCACTCTCCGGGACTGGGCCTTCCTTTCATGTCTCTTGCGCTCTGCAGCCGCTGTTCTATCAACTTCATGTTGCATGGAGCTCTCATGCAAAGTGGAACGCCATGAAGTTCGATCCTATGTTTGTTCCCTCGACGAGTATTCTAGCATAACATTGGTAGACCGTCCACATTTCACAGACAAATAGAAGCGTAGGGAGAACAGCCGCCTGATATACCATCAGATTAGTTTGAGTGTTGATACATCTCCTGGTCAATAAGTTCTTAGTCAATATTCCATTGGTTGCACTGGCTCTCGCAATATGTAGGTTATCCTCGTCATCGATGATTGTGCTTTGGGACAGTGTGCTGCCGAGATAAGAAAAGCCTTTCACAACCTTAAGTCTTTCGTCAATTACTTGGCTGTTGGGCTCAACATAAGAACTTCCAGGAGCTGGTTGGTATATGACCTCAGTTAGTTTTTTGTGTTAATGGTGAGCCCGAAGTTTGTGCAGGAATTACAGTTTCGCTTCTGATACAGCGTTCAGGGCACAGTCGTCTGCATACAGGAGGTCACTGATGGTGTCTGTCAGGGACTTTATTTTGGCATTTAGCCTCTTGGGGTTAAAGAGATTAACATCAGTTAGATATCTGAGGCGAATGGTTTTGACTTATTAAACTTGCGTACACCAAACATATTTTAACTTAAGCATACTTTGAAACAAATTTGAAAATCTTTCTTTTAAGCTTTACTCTTACCATTTTACGATTTTTTTTTTAATTTCATGTTTGGGGATAAGGGGATTTTGACCAAACTTTCCAGGAACCATCTATAGGTCAGAAAGGTAGATCATGATATACGACTCACACTTAGCAGTCTGGAGTTATAGCGTTCTTATTTTAATTGTTATATATGTAATTTAAAATAATTAAATACATTTTTGATGGATTATTTATTTACTCCATTTTTTTTTAAAATTTAGCCTTTGCCAAAGAGTACATTTTCCTAAGCTACCAAACTTGTGTGGGTGTTCTGGATATCTCGCTTTGTATCTGGTGACAGCCGGGAATATCGTGGAACATTAAAATGTCGAAAGGCCACATTTAAAATACAAGCAAAGTTTTAAGTTTCAAATGATTAACTCGGTTTAGAAATGTATCTGGGTGGATTCTTCCAACCCCACCCCCCAACCCCCTCCAAAAAACCTATTACTTTACACTATTTACGTAAAATAATGTTCAGTTTATTTAAAATTAGCTTTAGCAACATCTTTAATGAATGTGAAAATAAGTTAAAAATTCATTAACTCGCCGTTATTAGAGATCTTTTTTGCACTTATATATATATACATAATTATTTGGAAATAAATAAAGTGTATAACGTGGAAGCAAGTGTGCATAACTGACCCAAATAAAATGCAAATTATGCATTTTTTAACACATATAGTCTTAAATACAATTCGAAGCTTAAATATTTATTGATATAGCATCCTTGTCTACGAAGGAGAAGTCGATCGATTCTTATATGTTAAAATAATTTTATATCTTGAAAAGATATTGAAAGAACATTGATATTAAATTTGCTTACTTATATTTGTAACACTTTAATTGCATTATTCGTATCTCGTTTGGGATAGATCAATAAAAGAACCTAGGAGTATAACATATGATTTTAGATCCATAGTTATTCCTGTTGTTGATAACTTAACATAACATCTTCTGCATCTATAGGGGCCAAAATGATCTATAAATTGATCGTGGGCTCTTAATACAATATAGAAGAAGAAGAAGAAGAAGAAGAAGGGGAGGACACAAAAATATTATAAGTTATTGCAAATCTAAATTGGTTGTTGTGCGTCTACCATGCAAATGTTTTGCACGCACTCAAATGTGCCATGAATTGGGACCATAAACACCAAGCACGAGTAAAAACTCAACAGCTTCAACCAGATACACATTCGATGGCAATGATCATATTATATAGGGTAAAAATGTTCATAATGTTCTTCAGTGTATTTAAAAAGGTCCTTAGTGGTTTAGGCGATGTAAATAAATTACAAAGTTTGAATCTCTAATGGCCTTCTGTACCTGGCATTGACATAGGGTAAACCATGCTTTAAAAACGTATGTAAAAGAAACAATGGGACCGCAAAAAAATGAAATAAGGTTAGGAGAGTATCGCTAAAAAATGTTCGTTCGGGCAAACATGCATAAATATGGGAATAATTCTGGCAGATGATTCCTGAGAGGAAGTCAGTAGTGCCAAAACAATGCAATGCCGAATACTAACAAACCAGGGGCGATACAGTTATCGGCATTGTCAAAAACTCTAGGATGAGAAAATAATATAGTTTTCAAAGCCATCACCTTACTAAAAGGAGGTTAAAAATGAAATAAATCAAATAACGTGGCCCTCATTTTTTAGATGATTTTTTTTTAAAATATGACCCCGCAAATCTGGAAAACATTTCAATAACTTTTACAGAATTTTGAATAAGAACAGTTTTGATAATTCAAACGTAATTGATTTTGCAAAATATTTTTTATTTCTGTTTTCTTTTTTTCAAAAATTAATTTATTTGTCGTATTGAAACGTTTTTATTTTATTTTTCAGAAAGAAAATGTGTGTGAAAACAAAAAACCTCAACCAGGTAACGATAATAAAATGTATTTATTTAAGCTTGTCAAAAAACTGTTAACACAATGTTAGTTAATATATGTAATGCATCCTTTCTATAGCTAAGTTTATAATTAATACCTTAACGCGACAAGGTGCAACCACGCCGGAACGAGACCAGTCACGACTGAGAGTCAGGACATGGTTAAAAGACCTCTTCCGCAAAGAGTGTCTCAAAGGCTCGGTGTTCGTTGATATATTTCGAAAGCTTCACCAAAAATCCCAGAGACCGAAAAAAGGATTACTTTTGGAGACTGGCACGAAACGGATAGAACCTCCTTATGCAAATGAGGAGCAATCACTGCCCAACATAACTAAACGTACTCTAATCAGGTAATGTCTCTAATTGCCGACTCCATGGCCAAAAGCTGAGTGCCACTTACAGTTTTGTGGTCTGATGGATAAAAAAACCCAAATTCTGCATTAAATCAAAGGCTCAGCGCAATTGAAAGGGCTTGACTGTGACAAACTATCCAGGGTTGTGAGAGTTTGCATTCGACGGTAAAGAGGATAATTTTATGGCAAGCTCAACATACGCTACTTGATACGAACGCCTTATGTATCATAATGTTAATTTATACATCGGAATATGTCACAACTGAAAAAGGATATTGCGTTTTATTTATATAGCATTTTATAAAGTAAAAGTAATGTATCAGCAAATATTCTTTCAAATTTTAATGGGTATAAGAATGTTTTCTCTACAATTGAAAATCAATCACCATGTAACTGAGCAATGCATCATCACTGGAAAATATGAAAGGTGAAATTTAAAATATCCGTGTTCCTTTTACCTTAAATAGTGTATATTTACTTTATCACCAACTAGCCAATATACCAGCGTGGCCCTAGAGTACATTCGGAATATTCTTAGAAAAAATCAATCGATAACAAAAATATTAACTTTTTAAATGTTCTCCTTAATAAGCACATTTATCAAATAAAATCCCAAAGGGATTCCATTTCCTTCATCGGATCCTGATTCCTAGTGATATCCATTCTCTTTTGGGATCGCATTCCCCAGTATGTGCTGCAGATCTTAAAATCGATGGGATCCCGTTTCCAAATAGTTTTGGCACACTTCGCAACGTAGATATTGATAATTAAGATTACGTGTACTAAGTTTGCTCAAGATCCAACCAATCATGTATTTTCATTTTTCACCCTTCTTTGATCATATTCCCGCTGCGATTGTGACCCTATTCGGATCCCGATCTCGATGGAATTCTATTTCGAAATGGGATTTCATACCCTGATGGGTTCCCGTTCCCAGGGGGGTCTGGATCCCTATTGAGAAACTGTTTCCCAAAGGGATCCCTTTTTAAGGAGGGTTCCTGTTTCCCGATGGGAAACCGTAACGTTTTAGATTCAGTTCTCCATGGGAACACTTTTCCCATTAGGATTCAATTCCACTATGAGATCCTCCTTCCCTAATTTAAACCCGTTCCCTTTTTTTAATTCGGTTACACGCGGGATCCCTTTCCTTGTGAGTTCCCAATCTCTGTTTGGATACTGCTACCAGGTGGGATCACATTTTCATGTTTTGGATCCCGTTCCCCGTTAAAATTATGTTTAACTGTGGTATCACGTTCCGGGTGGGTTTCTGTTTCCCGGTGGGATTATGAAGATTATGTTAACCAACTTTGCGTAGATCCATCACACGTAGTAATAAACAACGGAACCTTCAAATTTATTTATATCTTAGGTCGTAAGAATAAACAATTAATATGGAACTGTGTAGAAAATTCCAAGATCTTTTTATTTTTAGTTCATTGAGTAATTTTTTAAAATAAATCACGATAGTAACACATGCTATTCTATTGTCGATGTAGCATGGTTAACTAATACTTTGATTGATTGTCATGGATGCCGCTATCACTTGTGTAACATATTTAATTCTCCCACTCTTCAAATCATACTTAACTGTCCTCTCATACAATGAGGTGTCAACGTCCATGAATAAATTGTAAACTACTTTATAATATGAATTACTACAACAAAATAAGACTTGCTACGAGGATATCCTGTAATATATCTAGGATGCAATAATCAGACAGTTATATAATATTCCACATCACAATTGAATCACAATATTTCAATACTTTAATAATCCATACAAGCGATAATAAAAAGATGTCTGCTCACTGTCAGATAAAATGGTACTCTGGCCTACTCTACTAGAGCGTGCGGTCTAACTCCGCTCTAGAAAATAGTTCCCCCTCTTTTCTCGTGAAATACGAGGTAGTGCAACTCTATGCTTAAATTACTACGCCATCCTGACATAATAGTGTCCTGTGTAAAATTATAGCCAACTTGGTCTGTTACAATAATAAACATGATAAGGGTTTTATAGAATTTAATAAAGATTATTTAAAAAATCAAGCTTTATTAAACTTATAAAAAACATGACTTGGTAATTTTGCGCAAATCTCTAGGAAAGTGTTGAAATTAATAGTATTTAACTAACCTTTCAATAACCTTTCATATCCCATTGAATATCCCCGTGGAATAATTTAGAACTTTCTGGAACAACCCAGATTAAATTTAATAATTCTTTCGAAAAGTAAAAAGAGTCTTTTATTTGTATTATTATTTTTCCATTAAGAGTAAATTCTAAAACTAAAGCCATTTTTCATTCAAGCTTATAACTAAACCTAGTATGTAGATACATTATTGCTTTAATTATCTAGGGTTTAAAAGGGAAATCAAAGAAATAGATAAGTAATTTGCGGAAGACAAATCGAAAAAGCATCACAAATAACTTAAGTTTTAAGTTTTAGCAACATATTTGTTTTTGACAATTCGGAAAAGAGTAACACGTTAAAAAATGATGCAAATCATAGTTTCTAATTTTTGGTAATCATCTTAAGTAAATCTTAAATTACTAGAAAAAATTACCAGATGTTACCGATGTTATATCATCGGAAGTAAAAATATTCCTCTACATTAAAATGTACACATCGTCTTTCCGCGGCTTTAAATGTTTTTAGAAGAAGGTCAAATACATTATTTCATTTGTTTCCAAAACTGTCACTATACCAACCCCCAGTGTGTAACATATTTTAGCTTTAATGAAGTACTATACTTGATAAATGCGACCAGTCTTTACCTGCTATAATGTGTTCTGTATGGGACAAAATCTAACATGTCATCATCACCACCCCTTTAAACAAAAAAATCAAGTTTTTAATTAAATTTGATAAAATGAGCTCAAGGATGTTAACAAACCTATTTTTCTATCGCATACATTTTGCCCTTACATGAACTAAAAAATTATAAGTTCCCAAACCAGTTTGACAACAAATTGTGTTACATTTTCTAAAAAATATATGATATTTCATTGCTTAATTTCCTATACTATTTTTGTCTTGAAAATAGATGAAATTGTTTTTATATGCCCCCACCCAAAATAATACTAATTTATTTTTCAAATTCTCTCTTTAAATGTAAAATACAAAGTTGGCATTTTTTAAAACAAATTATCAATACTTTTTATTCAAGTTTCTATACAATGCATTGTATTGTGGTTTTAAGAAATTGCTATGATTGAAGCGACATTACCCAAGTAAATTAAACATTTTTAAAAGTACGACCCACCTCTCCCATGTTCAACGCTATTTTTCTATAAAAACAAGATCAATCAGGCATAAAATAATGAATTGTGATAAGTTTTCTCAATGGCATGTACTTTTTTTTTTAATTAAAATGCCCAACATTATTGTTTCCATAATATCGGTAATATATTGTAGTACTTATACAAATATATTTAACGTTATTTTTTTTTTAACTTTTAAAATGTGATAAAGCAATTAGCTAAACATAATATGCATAGACTGATCCCATTTCAGTAAAGTTTTCTTAAACACATAAACCTTTTTTTGTCTATATCTTGTATATATTTATTTTTGCACCAGATCTCCATAATTTGACTTTTTGAAATAATAGCTATTTTAAACATTATCCACCTTAGTTAAAAAAATACCTTCCACGATCAGTATTAAAATTGATAATACATGAAAGACATTTACATATACATTTTAAGTTTACATGTAAACTCTCCCTTTTTTCCTAATTCTAAATGACATGTTTTTATTAAAGCTCTTTTACTGTGGAAAAAGTCTAGTCTAATTGTTAAAAATAAAATGTGGTTTTAAAAATCCTAAAGACAAAAATAAATGGGTTTTTTCCCATATATTTATTTTTCCATCCACAGAACAAAGAGGTCTTAGAATTACGTACGTATTTTATTTATCATTTTTTTTAAAACACTTTTTGTGTATTTTTTTTCCTAAGTTTTAGTCCACTTTATTGCAAACCATGTTTATTAGATTTGATTTAGCAGCAAAGCAGCTTCAGAAGATCATTTGAGAAATCATTACAAACTTACTGAGTTTATCTTCTTTACTGTTCATAATCGCTCTACCATTGTAAAAATAAATTGTAAATTTATCTCAAGGGAGATAACATTGGCTGTCCTTCAAAAACTATATACATTTATTTCGTACCAGAGATACATTTTATAAGTACCACCAACTTATCGGTATCCCAGGAAGATTTTATCGACATGAATTTAAAGTGTGATTACGTGTTGTTTGGAGAGTATATGGGTTGATGTTGTTATTAAATTTTTATATTGGGTGACGTATTAGAGAGTTGTGGTTTTTCTTAGTTGAATTGCAGTTGGGATTTAATGCATATCAATTTTGTATTTTAATATTAATAATCTATGTTTTGTGAAGTGAATAAATTAAATCCCTAGACACAACGAAACCAATGAACCTTTTAGATAATACCCGGTTCGTAATACCAGAGTGATGAACAATTTATAGTGCGTTGTGTGGGTACAGCAGGGGACTCCAAACTTTTCAGACCGAGTGCCACAGTAAGTATCAAACAGCAGTTCAGGGATGACGACACACTCAGGGTCCAAATAAAAAAAAGAATCAAACATGGATTTTTACGTATTTATTTAATATTATTTTATTCAGTTATTATTTAATAACAAATTGATACACTACACATGAATAGGTGTATTAGAGGGAATGGTAAAATTATTTCCTTGATGTCAAAATAGCACACATTTTCGGCTTTAGATTAGATTTCCAAAAAATCAAAAGTGACCTGAGATTATCATCGGGCAAGTTTGTTCTCAAATCGTTCTTCACGTTTCTTGAAAATGTTTGTTCACACATGTATGTTGTTCAAAAGATTGAAAGGTACCTTGATGAAAAAAAAATTACATTAGCAAAATCTTCCTTTGGCAAAAATGGTAAAACCCCACCAGTTCTTTTTTGAATGTGTCGCTGAGGAGGTCATTACCTAGAAACTCAATAACATCCAGCTGCAGTTCATCTCGGCAACTGGCCACATCTGCTTCAAATGGGTTTTGACACAATCTTAATTCTTCTGCCTTTTAATAAAAGTCTGAAAACCACTGCTGAAACTGCAGCTGGAGGTCTATGATGATCTTGCATGCCAATGACATATGCATATAGATCCACTTATGGTAGAGAGATTGTGGCATTAAATGTATCCTCTTCGGAATATTCGAAAAATTCTTAATAAGCTAACGACATTCCCAATACTTGAAACACCGTGATAAGTAATTGCGCGAAGGTAATTATCACTAAATAAAAGAGTGCAACATGTTCCGCAATCAGAAGCTAACTTACATTATACCTTCCCATCGCAGCAGTCAACCGCAACTGGAAAACTGTAATCAAACTAATCAAGTCTTAAACAAGCAACAAAGCATTTAAAAACTCCGCCACTAGATGGCGTTATATCATCTCATTAAATGTGAACAGGAGTAGAAAAACTAAGCAGTGAAACTACTTCACGCCTCCATTTATTTCGGTAAAAACATAACGTCCACGTAAGAGGCGTCTGATCTTGGCAGGGTACACGTAAATTTCCGTAATTTTTTTCCCGTAGACAAAATGGTTTCCATCGACTTGATGATAGAGCCTCGCGGGCCGCATCTGGTCCGTGGACCGCAGTTTAGAGACCCCTACGCTATAGGAACCTGAGCTATGAATACATGATAAGCCCGAGTTTATGGAGCACATGGACTAATTTAAGAAACTAAGTATCTTCAGAACGTCAGTATCTGATTGACCCACCTTTAGTGTTAGTATTACTATATGTTAAGGAGTTTTTATGTTCTATCTTTAAGTGCATAGTAATTGTTTGATTATTCTATCATATCAATTTGTATTAAATGTCACTATAGTCATCGATTGAATCTTAAGTGTTATCAAGTTATTAGATAGTAAGTATTTCTATAGAAGGTTGGGTGTGAGCTAGAGATTGTGATTGTACATGGGTGTGCGTGGATGATGCTTGATCACTAGAATAATCTAAGAAGTACAGCATATATTCTCTCTGTTGCTAGTATAGTGTACTATTTATTGTGATGGACCTACATGCCTGGTAAGATATAAAACTGACTGTAACAATAAAAACAATGTGTAGTATTCCGTATGTAAAAAATGTTACCACCAAAGTCTGCAGACAGCCGTGTCATGGCAGATCATGTGATATTGTTCAGTGTCTGGTTTTGATGCTGCATGAGTAAGTGATATTTTTTTTTCCTTTATCATTTTATTACACAAACATTTTTCTGCCACGTTTGACGTATGACCATGGCAGTGTGTCGGAACAAACCACGTGAGGGGAGAGAGGATTGTAATTATTTTTGTGAGTGACAATTCCCCTCTGTTGTGAATGTAGGAGGGAGCTTGTAGTGTTGGTATATTTATTTATTGTTCCTTAAGACATGTTCAACCCACATGCCTGCAAATACAAAGGATTAAAAACATGACTCTGAACGGTTCCACTGCTTTGTGATATTTGATTCTTAAAACACATCGGTTCTGCGGGAGCTAGGAGAAAAGGTGCTTTGACTTTGAAATGTTACGTTGGCCGTAACGAAATGATACTCAAGGGAAATAGTCAACAGTTAGATTCACTAAATTGAAATGTAAATCATGCTGCTCTTGAAGATAAACCATTCGGGCCTTTCACAACAAAATGTATAGTGCAAAGTGCCCAACCACTATATCATCTTGTTATCTAGCATCGCGTGTTGCATATAAATTTAAGGCCTTGAAAGTTGTTGTTTTTTTTATAGTTTTTATTATCAGAACTTTTATATACATTGGCTTGACAGGCCCTCTATGTCTCGGTATTCATTCTTTCAGATAAAGTAACTTCTGATGACAATGTTAATATTACACTTCTAAAATTTAAAGATGAAAAAGGACAATACCTCACCATAAAACAGGTAAAATTTGTTTCTGGGACCTATTATTTTTTAATGAGAAATCATTACTTTATAATAAATAATTGAAACAAAAATAAGCATTGTTTTAACTTCTTTAAACTTGTTTTTTCCTAATTTATAGTATATAAAGTTATTTTTTTTCTTGCAATGCAAATATGGTCAGAAAAAAAAGGAACATTTAAAGCAATAACACTTAATACTAATTTTAAATACTAATTGTATCACAAACATCATAAAGCTAGTAAAAATTGTAAAGTATAAGATGTTGAGAAAAACGTTTTAAATGGTTTAGCGCATTAAACCTTAACCTTTGTTCAACAATTTCTCTCTAAGTGGTATTTTCGTGTGAAAATACTGATGAGCTTTGATATGTTTTTCCTTGTCAATCAGAATATTTTGTTTTAATGGTACAAAAATGATGAGACGTTTCTCCTTTAAAATGCTTGGAATTTTTTTTGGAAAGAAGACTGAATGAACCAGTGTCAGTTGTATGAATAATACAATTTCATTTTATTTGAAATATATTATCAATGGTGAAATTTTCAAATATCTTTGTATACATGCTTGTTGCATATATTCGCCTAAAACGAGATGCAAATTAATGTATCAAATTTAGTTAAAGTTTTTAAAGAAAAAATATTCATAAGATTCCCTTTTAAAGTAAGTTTCAAATTGTGAGTTTTAATAAATTATCATGATATGTTCAAATTGGTGTTTCTTTTATATAAAAATTTGTAACGTGATCATTATGAAATGAAATAACATTTAAAAACATTTTTTAAATGTGGCGTTATTATCCAAATAATGTTTGCATCTAGACACTAGTGATTTATATATAAAGAATCTTTTTACTTACATTGTATAATATAATCTTTCATATTTTACAAAATTAATATATTAATGATATTGTATGACTATTCGTATGAAATATCATTTGATTGACATTTTACTGACAGTGTTGAACACACACAAATAAATTTATAACATATCATCACCCTGTTCGTCGTTTAAAACAAACTAGCAAATTTACCCGAGCTTAACTGTTGAAAGTGAAAACTGAGGAGGGTCTTTAAACTGATAGATTCTATAAAATGTGTATATTTGTGGGCAACTTATCTCCATTAAATTCAGTTTGTGACCAGCCATAAAAATAGCAAATCTATGGTAAGGAAAATTTGTAGGTGGGGAACTCCTTGTTTTTTGTGGGGAGATCATTTTTTTTTTATAGTCTTGTGTCATCTTTAATCTTTTAAAATGTTTCGTCTCCTTTGAGATGGTAAAATATTGAGAGCTTGTTTCATAAAATATACTATTTAAGGGGAGCTTTAAAAAAAAAAAGTGGTCCTATTTTACTTTATTTTTTAAAAATTACCACGCATCATACTCTATTGTATTTCTTTTTTTACACCAAAATAATCTGTAATTCTTTACAGCTTGAAAATGCCTGACTGCCAATTCATTCGTAAATTCACAAAATCCACCACCACAACCTCAAACCATCTCTCTCTTATTATTTACTCATCAACATCTACTTTTAAAAAAATGCATTCCTTCTCTTCAGTTTACGCCATTTTTCTGTCCTCCCCTAAATCACCGTTCAATCCCTTGAAAACTAGGATCTCAGTTGATCTTCCTCCATCCCATCTATGCCAAAAATAGTATTAATAGCGGAAGTACACCCGGGTGACAAGTATTTATATTTGCACAAATTATTGAAGCCATGGCAGTCTATGAAGATCAATTATTAGGCGAAAACTTCATTTTAGACCACATGTTGTAAAGTCGGTGGTTTTACTTTAAGCTGCCTTGTTTGTCAGTTCCTAAGACTTTTACGTTCACTTCCTAAAAGGATTTTCCTCTTGAAAATATACCATAAAGTTGTACATCAAAGTGTACAAGACTGAACACATGAGAGGGCATGTAAAATTGCTAAAGAACTGTTCTTTTCGCCCCTTGAATCTCAATAATTTCAAAACATTGATTGATTTATCAAAGTTGCCGTCTGAAATTTCAAGGGCATCACCCCCTTATGACATTCCGTGTGTTTAAAGGATAGATGCAATTTAGTTAAGTGTCAAATGAAGAGCTTTTTCTCCAACGGTAATATCTCCCTTAATGTCTTCCATGAGCTACTCCTTACTTCTGTCGAATAATGCGTGTAGGATTACACATGAATGTTACAAATAAGTCAGGTTTACCATATGTCCTGGCCATGGTCATAGCATCTTGGTATTTTTATTCATATTTCTTCTGCTCCCTATGAAGGTTGAAGGCAATATTTCTTTCTTTCTCTGCAAAATAAACTTTAAAATTGCTTTTGTTCACAAATGGGTTTTGGACGACATCTTATTGTGTTTTGATTTTTTCGAATCCATTTCAAACAGTTTGCTTTGGTCTTGCAATAGACGCCGACAATGATTCGTGATTAAGCTATACTGCCTTAAGGAACAAGTCAAAGCTTCGATAAAGTATGGCGAAATGGTATAAATATAATTGAAGATCAGAAACATCTCCATGACCAACGGTTTTCTTCAGGTCTGCGGTCCACCCTAAATCCGCAAAGCAAAGGGTAACTTATTGGGTCACAGAGTCTACTTAGATGGATTTATTTTAGTAAAGAGAATACAAGTTTCTCTGGCAGTGTGATCGTCGGTTCTGATTTGTTGCACATTATTTACCTCTGCTCTCAAGAACGCCCTGATGTATTCAATAGTCTTTCGGTTTGCCTGATTTTCTTTTAGCATTTCTTTTTCTTCAAAATTTGAGCATCTTATGCACAAAAACGTCACCGTTACAACCTAAAAAGGAACAGATGCATAATTAATCTCTTCACGACATATGGTCACTACCTACATTACTCACCGATGACTGACTACGACGTTATTTTATAGACATTAAACGCCGAGTACAATTAATACGTAATATGATAAGTAATGGTCTTGATTTTTCATTATTTCAAACTATTTACAACATTTAAATATACTTGCACCATCTCCTTATTATTCTGCTCCAAATTCCCATTCAGTTTTTTTTTAATACCCTACTTATTAAACTCTTTTACATTACCTTTATAGAGATAACCTTGCTTGTATAGAATAGATTATTTAATTAAATAAATAAATCATGAAGTGTTGTTTGTTGGTCTCAAATTTTGCTATTTATTTTAATGTTCAGAGTTTTTTTTTAACAATAATTATTATTTCTATTTAATAGATGAAGGCATTATTTTTGGAACAACGTCAAGAAAGCAATGTGACAGCATCAATGGAGAACGAAATGTTTTTACAAAGACAAGAATTGTTTTCTGCTGAAGAAGTCATTTAGCTTTTTAATTTTTCTGTATATTTGACTTCTAAAAATCGTTTTTCACTTTTAAAAAAAGATAAATATAACTATTTATATGTAATTACCTTTAAAAATAAAGTATAATAATTAAGTAAAAAGACATAAATCCAACATACTCAAGCAAAAGAAACATCACTCCTTGACCTTTTATCTTATATTTTAAAAAAAGTATCAAGAGTTATTATTAAGAATAAAGTATGTTATATTTTTAATAATATATTTATCATTGCATATTTTTAGGAGTATTTTACATTTTTTGTAATGGTTTAATTTGCTTTTGTTACATTTTATTGAATGTTTTAATTTAAAAATTGTTCTTAATTTTTAAATTAAAAGGTCCTTATTACTTAGGGATTGAGTAAATAACGGAAATGCTTCAATTGAGTTATTTTTATCCCTTTCTTTTGTCACACTGGTTTCTTAAGAATAAAATAAAATTAATACATATCCATTTTTATAACAAAAAGAAAGAACTAAGAGGCTGGAAAGTGGGACAGACACAGCCTGCAAAAAAAAAAAAAAACTCATTTAAAATAATTTTTTTTTAATTTTCCTTTGGTGAAATATTTATTTGATAAATAACTAAGAGGCTGGAAAGTGGGACAGACACAGCCTGCAAAAAAAAAAAAAAAACTCATTTAAAATAATTTTTTTTTAATTTTCCTTTGGTGAAATATTTATGTGATAAATCATAGTTTTCAATTGATAAAAGAGTTTAAAAGAAACTAAAAATTATACGCTTAGCCGCTATTCCGTTTGCATGTGAACTGTTCCGATTTCCAGTCCGCTATAAGCTCATTGCAGACAAAGGATCATTTTCCACTTTAAATAAGTTGTTTATAAAATTAAGGAAAACTACGCACCTAAACTAATTATATTATCTCTTATTTGTCCTTCAGTTTTTACTCAAAACCCTTTCCATGCTCTAAATATACAAGTTAAATCTTTAAACGGGTTTCGCGATCCCCACATCAATTCATCTATTTTCATTCTATTTTGCGTGAAAATTCGCTTTACAATTTTAATATTAATTTTGCTTAAAACACTAAAATTATTCACGTTTTATTCATGTATCCTTAAATCAGTTTAAATTCAAAGATGTTTAAATATTCATAAAATTTAGTTTACATTTTGTTTCAAGGAACAAATATTTCGTTGCATTTTTATGTATCTATCCATCATCCATGTCTTTTTTAAACATCTCCCCAAAACCCTCTACTCACATTTGACTGATGCTTTACTTATTCATGATTGGATTCCCAGCTTCTGTAGATCCTTCTCCACATCATCCATCCATCTAAGCCTAGATCTACCTTTGAGCTGTTTTTATCTGGAGTTTTAGAGGCGCGCCCTATTCACGCCCCGTTCATTTGGAATTCTTTCAAAGTAGCCTGCCCTCTGTTTCCTTGTCCAGATTGTGTGCTTGAAGGTCCAATTATATCTATTATTTCATCTTTTCAAAGTTTCTCCCAATCTTATCATTTGTCTGAATTAAAGATGTGTTTTTTCCATAAATTGTGGCTTTTGTGATCCATGTTGTAAAGAATTCTAATTTGCTTTAAGTGGCGAGAAATAGTTGACATATATTTCTTTGCCAACTCCTACAACTTTTGTATCTGATGGTATTTGAGACAGGTGACTGGCCGTTATATCTGTTATTTCCATGCTGTCCTAGTTCTATTCTAAACTTTCTAAACCAATACTTCTTGTATCCTGGTATTCGACAGTGATAGCATGCGTTCATTATTAGATGAATAATTTTTATTTGTTCTTATCTTCTTTATTAGTTTTTAATATTCATGATCTGCAATTATTATTTTTTTAATGTTTTTATTTGAGATATTATTGTTACTTTTCCCTTTCTTCAGGGATGTGCATCTTTAAAAGTATTGCGTCTATTAATTCTCTTTCTGTCTTAACTTTCATGACAGTGCATAGATTTGGTGATGCATTTCCAAGTGTTTTATCTACTATGAAAATATCTAGAAGAGCTTTCGTTAATGTTGGTATAAACTGTAATTAATTCTAGCCATTTGCTTAGATTCTTCAAATATAAAGTTTTATAGTATTTGTAGCTTTTTCTCTATCCAATCTGATTTGATGAAATTGCCTTCTTTAAACTTCTATCTTTCCATTACATTTTAATTAAACATTCATGATATACGGATATACTTTATTTTGTTGTTAAGTTAGAGACCAGACAATGCTTAAACTTTTCCCCTGAAAGTTCGCTTAAAAATATGTCATCACTAGTATATTCGTTGTAAATATTATTTTGTTCAATGTCACTCCTATTTTGTTAAGTAACATGTAATGTCTTCTTCTTCTTCTTAAAGGTCCGAATTTCGGTTCTATAAGTGTTTGACTATTTTCTTCACCGTGCTTACACCATTTGTATTTCAAGCCCCAAGTCCCTCTTTTCCAATTTCATATGTTGTCTCTTAATTCTATAGTTAAAATTATTTTCTAATGTATTATATGTATTTATACGCCATGTCAAATCAGATTGAGGTTTACTCAATGTTCAATAAAATCTAATTGTCGTTATGTTACAGTTTTTTGTTTTAATTGTTTGAAGGACACCAGTGTTAAACGTTTAAATTGGACTGAGAGAACCCCGTCAGGAGGACGGGACCATACCATGTTGATAAATTAAATCACGTAATATTAGAGACACATCAAAACAATTTTAATAAATATTCACACTTTAAAGGCCGAAAATTATTTGATTTATCCTGCCGGAGAGTCCAGGTCACAAGTTGGCATTTCATTTTTCATTCTTGGTACTACCTTCTTTCATTGGTAATCAATCACCAAATGCTCAATAGTTCGTCTGGTCTAAATTATTATGACGATGACATATACTTCGATGTCTAATCTGTCTCCGTCACAACACGGACTAGTGTGATTCAAAAACACTAAAGGGCTCATTGCACATTATTGCTTTATTTTCACAGAGCTAAAACATTCACTTGATTCCTAATGAAGTTAATACATAAATACATCTTGTAGAAAATTATTATCCTTAGACAAAATCCCCATAGTGAATATAACTTAAATACTGCCTCTCTCTCTCTCTGTCTAGCTCTCGCTGTACCTCTAGATCACTCTACACACTCTCTCGACTAACTCGTGTCTTACTAACACACTACCCTTTTATATTTCAACAAAGCACGCAGCAACACTGAAAGATATCACCACGACCAAACTACACGATCTGACCTCATGGCTTACAACTTACAAAAACACTCTCAAGATAACTACTCCCCCTACCAAACATTAACAACAATACATTTATTTTTATTAAAATAGAAGGTAATCTTTGAAGGCTTGAAATCATTACATAGATGCTAAAGTTATAACTTAAAAGTTGGCTCTATTAAAAGCCATTAAATAAATATTAAAGATTACTTTTAAATTCGTAATTAATATGTCACCTTTCTTTAAATAAATATCCTTAATTTTTAAATTTGAATATTGGTTTATTGCCCCGGTATTAAAAGTAATAATAATTATTTAAGACCTTTGTCTGTGAAACTAATTTCCAAAAAATTTGTCTTAGTTTTTTTTTACATCTAGGAGAATAAAGAACCGTTGATTAACATACCTAATGTTTAATATTTGGACATCGAATAATTGAAGCGTTATTGCAATATCCATTAGGTAGATATTCACTGAAAGAAGAGCCCCATCAAGAATGTTTAGAACAGTATTTGGGTACCTTTTAAAAGTTGTAAATTGTTTGATGGGCCATGATGTTAAGTATTGTATTTGGTTGAAAAGGGTATGGACTAATGACTGAAAGAGACGATATGGCAGAAAACCTTTCATAGTTTTCTAATATAAATATGTTTATAATGACACATGTTTAGCCTTTTCAATTTTTAAAATTATCTAACCCTTTCCGGCCTTAATATGAAAGGGAGTTTACGTATGCTAAATGTATCATTTAAAGAGAGCCCCTATCAAATCATTTAAATATATATTCAAGTTGACATATAGCATTTCTATGATTCATATAATTTAAAATTTGTGGAAATAAAGTCATTTTCCTTACTAACATTGGAACCCCAGGTTACTTTAAGAAAAAAAATTCATGGACATGTGAACAGTATAAGGACATTTACTGACAACCATTTGATGTTAAAATTGTACAGACGGTCCATAATCTGAAAAATCTGTTTTGAGCTTGGAAAGAGCAGTTTGTTTCTGTATTTAAATGAATTTAAATGTTTAAATTTATTTTTTACAACTAGTCAATATACCGGCATGGCTTTGTTATGCATTTGAAATAATATTCATAAGCTTATCAGTGGACACTTTCAAATCCTTTTACTCAAACATCAATGAAAGTTATAAATTATTTTATCAAATAAAATGGCAATATTTTTAATAACTCGTATCAAATTGATTTTGGAGTCATGACACTTTTAGTTAAAAACCATGATTTAAAACAATTCTAACTTTTTAAAGAGGTCTTCTTAAAAAGTAACCAAAACAAAAGAAATTGCCATTCATCAGTTAAATACAATGGGATTACCGGTAGTAGCTAATTCAATTAGCGTCCATTTTAGGTACCATTAGAGAAATGCTCCATAAAAATCAGTCTTTAAAATATTTAAGATACATTTTCAAATGCATCCAAATAAATCGGATGGAATTTGCAACAATATTTTATTTTACATTTTTGCCATGGGAGCCAAAAGTACTTAATATTTATTATTTAAGTCATTGAGATTAAGAGGTTGGTTAATGAATATACTTTATTTGAAACATTACCACATTAACATGCCATGAAAATCGCAAAATATATGATAGCGATTTATTTAAAATAATATTAAGGCTTCCGACAAAAAAAGTGTTCTTAATTTCCATACAATTATACTTTGACAACAAATCTTTACTGTAAACATGTGGTTTATTGTGAGGAAAATACATTGTAGAGCCTCCTACACTCATTTTAGAATTTTTCACAAATTATCTTTAAATCTGATTCAATACAATTTGAGAAAGATCCTAGAGACTTAAAAGAATACACGACATGAGAAAAGAAACTGATAAAACATTAAATAATTTTTTAATCGATTGTTCTGAATAAGGTAAAACTTCCAAAAACATATAAAACAAAAATTCACAAATATCTATGAAATTTCCAGGAAGAATAGAGATTAATAAATTCAAATTAAAATATCCACAAACTTTACGACAAATTTAAATTTCTGTTTCCTTTATAATGAATAATAGATATTGTTCTGTATAATTCTTTATTATAACCGGCTGCTGGAGTGGACATTACTAATTTACCATCCAAAGCTATTTTAATATTTGTATGCATGGTATGCTTATCTAAACATCAATTCACATACAACCCTATATTGTTAACTAAGCCTTCTGGTATTAATAAAGATCATTGTATGGTTTTGCAAGTTGAAAATGTTTTAACATTTTGTGTTTGCTGAACAATAAGTAACAACGGAATTAAAACAATTCAATAAAGAAAACCTCATTTGTAAATGTCTTGTGTCAAGGAAATACTGTTTTTTATGTTGTATGTTCGATGACGAAGTCTTCCTGCCGACACGCTCGTTTTTTTCTTGCGTTCTCTTCTTTGGGTTTTTCCATACTTGATTTTACTCATTGCCTTTTTAGCTTAAATGGATTCTCCCTACCTTATTACTATATTAATAAAGTTCGACCATCTTATCGGGGACGGATTTGTACTAAATACTCATTAGTGCTTATTCGCAATTTTGCGACGATGTGTTCCTTCCCCTTACACATACTACAGCACAGAGTGTAATATTAAATAGGACCATTAGTTACACAAAATAACACTTTATGCACATGGCTTTACTATGCGTTGTTTCGTATCTGATATAAAACCCCTCTTATACAATGCTGTGAACTATAGTTCCTTAAAATGTTTCCACATTTCAATATTAACTCGTATTTAATTATAATTATAAATATGGTTGCATTAAAAAGCTAATATTTTTGGTTACAAAGCACATTCTTCTGTATATGGGAAATATTGCTTTATTAGTAATGCGTGCCTACAAAAAAACGTTAAAAAATCAAATGTACCTTGGCGTGTCAAGCATTGTGTGGGGTGTCTTTATGTTTTCCTAGGATACGACACACCAATAAACAAGAAATACATTTGACGCAAAGTCTGTGCAATTATTAATTATTAACTTTAAATACATTAACACTCTGTACTCTTAACTAAAACCGAATCTTAAATTATTAATATGAGTTCTTGACGCAAGTTAGCCAGACAGCTACATAAACTAAAGATATAGCTGACAAAACTGACACTGCAATTTTTAATTCTCTTTTTTGGATTTAATGCAATTGTATCTTCCCGGCAAGCACATTATAGGCGTGCCAATTCTGCTTGGGATTGCCGTAGATCACGCTTTCAAGGCATATGTATGGGGTGTTCCCATACCTCGACTCATTAGTATCGATAACTTACCTAGCACTGTCTCCGGCGCCTGACTGCAGTAATGGCAGCTCGGACCCGAAGAGAATAAAAGTATTTTAGTACATTCGAGTAGGATAGTTCCCTTTTCTCACCTTGTTGATGAGGCTATGCTGTTCGCATTTTAATTTCAACAACTGATCCCTTTTCCTTTTTGGAATTGGTATTTTCCGGTATAGTTTCCGACACGTGGGTAAGTTGCTAAATTTTCAAAGCATTCTTCCAGAAAAAGTTCTTTTAACCATAAGTTGAAACACAGTTTGGTGACCAAATTTTGTCGGTTAAGTTGTGGCTTGGCAAATTAAATATATTTTTTCGCCAATAAGCGAATGGGGCTATTATTTAATATTAAATAGTGATTTTAAAAACAAAAAGGTACGTTTTTACGGATCTTTTGTCATATGTTATAGACAAAATATTTTACCTAAGATGCGTTATAAAATAAAATCATTGAAATTTTATAAATTAAAACTTATTTTTTTCACATTAAGATAAATTTAAAGAAGTACACAAATTGAAAGAGAACAAGGGAGAAATAAGCTTGACAGCATCAGTACCAGGATTTAAAATTATAAATAAGTACAGACAGTTGCAACAGTTATAAGAATTTATTTACGAAAACTAAGTTGTATCTTACTGATGACATAGCACAGATGATCATAGTAACATTGAAAGAATCCAACATTGCACAGTCAGAATATCCTACGCATTCCTATAACAATGTTAATGTTTTATTGCAGCCTCCAGATGTTATTTTTGGGTTGTTTTAAAACGTGATTTTATAGTTCCCCTGTTTTACTGTACGTTAGATTAGTACTACCACTAGGCTTTTGTCTATTGTAGGATTATGTTTCCAAATAAAGTACTCTGAACTAATTTCACTCCACACTCCTTCTAGCATTCAATGACACTCTCACTCGCTCTCACTTCTATTAATACTATCACAATACATGTATTAAGAATCACAGGTGGTTAAGCCCACTAATAAATATTTAATTATAAAACATAAATATCTACATACACATGACATATACTATACACATATAATGAATAACGAGATATACTGCCCGCTATTATCAAATACTATGTTCCGCCTTGCGATCTCGTCCTCTGTAGGCAGTCAGTTCCAAACAAACACACACACACACACACCACTTTAGTTTGATTAGGCTCCACTCTCTAGTTACTGGTCGGTCTCTGCTCACTCGCACGGTGACGAGGTAGGTGTAGACTCAACACACTCTTACGGTGGGCACACAAACACACAGCCCTCTCGCTGGTCACTGGTCAAGGTGCCGTCTCTGATACTCTAGTAGGCCTAACCTACATTTGGTTCTTTCGATTAGTCTAACTCTAACAAACTACCCCACTAACTCAACTCAATTGCATTTAAGGGTCTATACGGTATACTATACAGACTAAACTAAGATCTGTTGTACTTAACTGTACTCAACTCAACTGTACTGACTTTAATTGAGCTCAAGTATGCTGTGACTCAACCCATCTATACTGGTAATATCTGTACTAACTATCCTGTGTTATAATGCAAACGTTAAAAACCCTTTACATTTTAAAACTCACTTACACTTACTCATTCAAACAGGAAGGAAATAAGTCCTTTAAAAAAGTTCATTTAGCAAACACTCGTGTCTTTCTTTGCAAAACAACCGAGTGTAAAATTGAAACAGGAAATTAAACTTGATAAAAAAGAAAAGGAAACGTTTTAGAAAATGTGTAAAAATTAAATCTTCATATTTAAAAAAGATATAAGTAAGTGAATTTTATTGAGCTATTTAGTTAACTACTATTTTATGCAAGAACATATTATACCATTCAATTTTGAATCTGTATATTTGTCTATCTATATATCTGTTTATATATCTATTTTTATAAATTTGCATGTATCTAGTTTATAAGTATATGACAAAGTAACAACATAGTTGCTATAAAATCTATATTTAATCTGCATAGTGTAGCTTAGTATGAACATTATAGTTTAAATGTTTGCAGCAAAAATTGTGTGTTTTTTTATTCTTAAAAGATATGCCAAAAAGTTATTGACAAGACTAGGAACTTCAAAGTAATGTAGAATGAAATATATTGTTCTATTTACAAAATTTCTTGGTATTTGTTTTTGGTCATCTAGACTCGCTTTTTGTGGTATGTATTTAGTAAAGTTAAATCTTCTTGTAAATTATAAATCGTGACTGTGAACGATTTTTAAAAAAAGTAGTATTCGCGTTTTATAAATTTTGATGTTTTTGAAGTAATTATTGAGTCATATAGAAATCTAGATAATTTATTTTTCACAATAACTATTATATTAACATGATTTAATTTAAAGAAGAAACAATTTTTATTGTGATACACATTTTTGCATAAAAATGCATGTAATTGAATCAATAAGTATTGAAATAATTTTATTTTCAACAATTTAAGATAATTTGACTTACATGTTTTAAAAAAACTTTTCAAATTCCTTTAATTTTTAATTTTTTTTTATCTTTATAGAATCTTTACTATGCCCACCCGCTGAAGAAGGAAAAAATCACACGTTGATTTTCAAGTGGATTTTTGATGAGAAAAACACTGATATAAAAATAAGTGTTGAAAGAAAGGAATATGCAATAGCAATGTGTTTTTATCCGAATACATGCACGGATTATTATGATGATGAATTTAAAACAAAATATATGTTTGATCGCTACAGAAACAGAAGTACTATAGAAGTACAGATTTTCAAAACTTCACGAGATGAGGAAAGCTTTTGGTATATTGTGCAAAATACTGTTGTTTTCAAGTGTGCAGTTAAGATCTATTGTAAGTATATATAATTAATGTCTAAGAGAGGAGATTTAACAAGACATATATTTCCGTTATGTAAATGAAAGTGAATGACCAGCAAATTCGAGAAACTTTAAAGGTGGAAGTGTTGACTGGGGGTTTGGGACTGTATTGGGTTAGGAGGCAATTTGTTTTGTATAAAAAATGTGATGAGTACGTTTAGTAAGAGTAAGGAAATGATGTTTGGCGGATCGAGTTATTGAATCTAGTGGGCAAGAAATTATGGAGAAATGTGCTGGTGTTAAACAGCCTTGAATAAGAGTGTTAAGGAGAACAACCAGACTTGTAGCTGGGCTCAAAATTGGAATTCAGCATGTAACTCTACTTTTGGCCCGGAGTGGTATAAATATTTTAATGTCGTTAGATAGCAAGCTTCTTTCACATCTATATAGCTCAATAAACAGAAAAATAAATAATAAGCAAATGAAAAACGTTGACCTATGCTTATATCATTATTGGATGATATTTCGTAACGTTATATTGTTTTTGACAATTTAATATGCATTATTATTTGGCTCATGTGTCGAAAAATACGTAACAAAGGCCTGAAACAAGTATATAAATAAAAACAATACGTAAGTTAGTTATTTTAACAAAATTCAATTTAATTATACTATTAAATGTAATATAAAAAAAAAAAAAAATTAAAGATACAGAATTTTAAAAATATATATTAGCAGCAGAGCAATTTAGTCGAAAGATAAAGATACTATTATGAACACTCATAGAGTGCAATTTTTTAAGTCAACTTTACATATATGAGGGATCATAAAGGTTAGGAAATCTAGCACAAATCTCTTCCGGCTACTGGCTTATTTATAGGAAATGAGCTGGATTGCTACAGAAACGAAATTGTAAAACATTCATCCCCGATAGCATACTTTAGACAAAATTAGAAGTTATACATCCTTTTCCCATTTGTGACGTCAATAACAAAAAAAAATTGGGATAGAAGTGATGGATGATTGAACGCTACTTTGACATAGGTGCTATTAAAGAAAATAACAAGTAGTTAGATTAAAAACTTACATGTATACTAAATTTTATTTTTAAGTTGAATATTGTATATCAGTTTGAAAGAACCAAATCTGAAACAAAAGCATTAAACGAAATGTTAATCATCAGATAAACATTTCATCCTGAACGACAACAGTCAACGGAAGGGGAAATCGATGGGATGAAATTTAAATCGATGGGGTGAAAATTATTATCAAAAATCGACTGTAAACAAATATCAATGGTCAATTGACCATCAAAGCTGGGAGTTGAAACATCATGGCAGAATTTTCACTGAGGAAGACAAATGCATAAAACAATTGAGGCAGGAGTGCAGACGGAAACCAAATCCATGTGATTTAACACCGTCTTTATTAATAGTAGTATCAGACTGGGCCTCTATAACTTCCAAGTGATGTATTTAAGGTGAGCAGTTGGTAAAACTAAAAGGGACCACAAAAAGAACTAGAAATTAATTGGTGTCATACCATTCAACTGGTATATGGATTAGTAATTTAAAACCTGTTTAGCAATCTGCCTAGATTGTCTATAAACCAAGTTGCTCACCTATTCTACAATATCTAGCAGTCCGTATTCAGGAACATAGGGAGACTACGATGAATGACTACAAAAGGGAGAGGTCCATACCGCTTTTATAAAAAAGGGGGCCATTAATGTGACTAACAACTCATCTGTGACTTTCGACTCTTTGAAAGTTACATGAATATTTTTTACAAGACTTTTCCAATCAACTGTACCTAGAAAAAAGTTAAAATATTTTTACAGCCCTTTTTGGCAATAAAAGGCATTACTTTAAGTGTTTCTTTCAGGCTTCTTTCACGGAGTGTGGCACTGCCTCCCAGTAAGCCAGATGTCCCCCCCCCACCCCGGAGCAAAACGTGTGCAACAATACAACGAAAATATATTTTTATTAAAATGACTAAATTTTGATTTTGAAAATTGCAACTGTTGCCTTCAACCTCATCATGTTAGAGTCTTACAGTATTCGGTTATTAATATCTTACTGGCTGATCTAATCTTAACTCTGGTTGTTCGCATTCATCGGTATTTTTCTTGATTATCTTTTTTTTTATTACTACAAATTTAAAATCTTTAATGACACTGTATTAATATATACATTCACATCTAAAATATCTACAATTTGAATAATAGTTCTTGCTAATTAACAAGTTTTCAAAATATATTTCATTTTAAAAGCATGACTTTTAAAGTAGGGTTATGTGTTAATTATAAATTGTATGATGGCAATATGTTTTAAATAATATTGATCTTGTCGTAATTTTAATTGTACTTGATTCCATTTGTTTTGAATTAGAAAATGAATCCTTTTAAGCATTTGATTTTTAAAAAAAAATAGATTATATACAAATAATGCGAGTTTCATTACTTATTATTAATTCGAAAAACGATTGTTTTTTTTTTTTTTTTTTTTTTTTTTTTTTTTTTTTTTTTTTAATATTTTATTTTTTTTTTTTTTATTTTTATTTTTTTTTTTTTTTTTTTTTTTTTTTTTGTTTTTTTTTTTTACAAAAACTTAGTCTATATTTATTAAATGCCAACTGCTTTTGTCTGTTTAATGTAAGAATATGAAACAAATATATATTTTGAACAAAAGCTTATTATAAGTAATGTGTTGTGGTATTTTTTCTTTCCATTTGCATTCAAAATGTATAATGATTTTTTTCAGTGATGTTAATTAAGTGAATGAAATTTGTTTCCTAATTTTTTTTTTTTTAAATTTATTTCTTAATTAAGTAGTTACCCACAAATTAATATTTGCATAATACAAGCAGGTCAAGCTCAGATTTTCAATGCTTTCTGCTACTTTCGGTTTCATCCCCTCCCCGCCTTGCAGTGAAAGATTACAATAAGGAAAATATTCTTACCCCATCTGTAAGTCCCTAAAATGGAGAACACCCTGCCGTGACTGGGTTTGCTTGGTTCAAACGATGGTTCTAAGGTTAGGTGATACCAACATTTGTTTAACTAGGATCTCTTACGTTGTTCTCGAATTATGTGTAGAATGTTGCAAAATTAAATGAAAATATGTGCTGAAATGCATTCTTGTATTTTGAATTTTTGAGGACTTTAACGATTTAAAGGGAAAGAATAACCTAAGGCAAAATCACATCCTCAAAGGCGACATTATTGATACCGATCAAGATTCATCGGCGCCCTCGATTTTCACCCTACTTTCCGATGAAAACGATCACATATTTAGTTGTAGATTGAATGATAGTAACTGCCTATTACATAGTTAGTATTATGGGCGGCTAAAGATTTTACCGCTCTCCGTTTTTACTCTGAAGTTCTCCGAAAATGCCACAACTTCATATAAAGACAAAGTAACACCTTTAGATACCATCATAACCTATTTGACCGCCTTCACTAGCCTGACGCTCCTTAGTTACGACTCTAGCTACTGCCCACTGGCAACTAGCACTCCCTACCCCCTAAAATCTGAAATACCTCTCAAGGCAAGTATCTTAGAGAACACTGATTCCTCTGCTACAAATATAACGCATTTTAATTTATTAGCCCGAAACTGTGATCTTTCAAAGCTATGATTAATTAGTTTCAACGTATTTTAAATAAGATAAAATATATTTCTCTGCAATTAAACTAATATTATGTCTTAAAATATTCACTCTATTCAAGCAAGAGCTCCTACAGTGTCGTGCAATCAATTTGTATCAGATGATGGACTCTACATTTCATGTTCGGCCTCACAAATTTATCCGATGGCAAAATGCGTTATAGAAATAGTTTCTTTAAAGGTACGTATAAATTCTATAGATTCCTATAGTTTTACATCTATTTATAAAATATATGACAGTTTAAAAATTAACTTTTTAATCAACAGAGTGCCAAGATATTTATAAATACAACGATGATGTGTGAAAATAACAGACTAGTTGGTAGGCCAACGTATTATGAAGCAAACTGCTCTGTAACAATCCCTATGTATAACTTAAATCCAGGTCAGTACAAACAACTGGTTACAATGTATCCTATTGTAACAGGGGATGAAACAGACAAGCACTTTGGAACATATAATACATCCTATTTTAATTTAGGTAAGTACTTAAATCTATTTATATATCTATTTATCGCTCTCTCTCTCTCTCTCTCTCTCTCTCTCTCTCTCTCTCTATCTCTCTCTCTCTCTCTCTTTCTCCCTCTCTCTCTATGTATATATATATACTATTGTGTACCCGGCATGTGTTGCAATGCCACTCACAGACATAAATATAATACATCCTATTTTAATTTAGGTAAGTACTTAAATCTATTTATATATCTATTTATCGCTCTCTCTCTCTCTCTCTCTCTCTCTCTCTCTCTCTCTCTATCTCTCTCTCTCTCTCTCTCTCTCCCTCTCTCTCTATGTATATATATATACTAGTGAGTACCCGGCGTGCGTTGCAATGCCACACAAAGACACACAGTGTGTGTGTTTCATTTTTTTTTTTTTATATATATATTATTTTTTTTTTTTTTTTTCATTTTTTTTTTTTTATTTACATAATTTTTTTTTTTTTTTTTTTACCGTTTGGTGCGTTCTAGAGTACATTAGAAATTTTTTCAAAGCCTGATCAGTCCACACACAGCTATCCATGGATTTTCAAACTATAGTTCACACACTTCTAGCGATTGATCCACCCATACAATAGGTATGTTTGAAATTATATTTACATTGCCCATTTATTACATAAAGACACATTTAAAGTCCCAGGCCCAAAACGGAATTATTGTGAGGGTTCTACTCATTCAGAAACCTACTTATTGTGTAACACACAAATTGAAACGTCGCTATATGTATTTGATTAAAATTGCATCCACCAATGCATTAGTTCTTTTTTGAAATAACACTTATAGAGCTCATATAAGAAAAAAGGAGGTAAGGGCCTTCGGCCCATAACAGAATATTTTCAAATGGTTTTACTAATTTAGAAACCTTAGCGGGTGAGCGCATATCATTTCATCCAAGTTTTATCTCAATCGAATGGATGGTATAGGAACGCATATGGAAATTATATTTATATAGCTGATTTAAAGGGGGGAAAACGAAATTAGGGTCCTCGGCCACAAACGGAATATTGTAGAATGTTTTTATTACTACAGAAACATACTTATAATGTCACACTTACAATTATATATCACTATTTGTATTTCATTAAATTTTATCCACTCGTGCATTAGCTCTGTTTGAAAAAATATTTGTATAGCTCATTTTTAAGAAAATGAAACAAGGGCCCCTGGCTCAAAACGGAATATTGTAAAAATCGTTGTAATACTTCGGAATTTTGTTCGGGCGTGCGCACTATATCTCCACAACGTTTTAGTGAATTCGGATAAATGGTATAGAAGCGCATACGGAAATGATATCTACATAGCTGATATAAGAAAAAAATTGAATTTTAAGCCAACAGCCCAAATTGGAATATTTTAAAAGAGTTGTAATGATTTAGAAAAATGCGCGGTCTTGTGGACAACTGACCACAGTTTTATCGCATGAATGGTGTAGGAACACATACGAGACATGCATACAAATATACAGGCATTAATTTATATATATATATAAGTATAAGTATCGGCATCCTTCCATCTCGTGAGACGATGGTGCATCACCGTTGGGTTGGGTTGCATTTTCTCGAGTGGCTGTGCAGTCCTATCCTTGAGTGACAGTCTTTACCACAGTTTTTACACACGAGTTCCGCGCTTCCAAATGTTTTGGCCTTCCTCCTAGCTCTTCTGTCTGCAGCCTCTTCCATTCTTCGCTTCTTGGCTACCATGACGCCCTCTTTGACAACTGTGCGCCACGTAGATCGGTCTTTTGCCTTACACTCCCAGTCACTTGTATGTATTTTGGCTGCTTTCATGTCTCTTTGACAGACATCTTTAAATCGCAGACGTGGGTGACCTGTTTTCCTCTTTCCAGAAGCAAGTTCCCCATTTAGGAGGTCTTTCGGAATGCGGCCGGGACTCATTCTTTTAACATGACCTAGCCATCTCAGGCGTCTTTCACTAAGGATTGTGAACATGCTTTGGGTATTCGCACGCATTTGGACCTCACTATTAGTCACTTTTTCTTGCCATTTAATACCAAGGATGCGACGCAGGCATCTCATATGGAAGCTATTAAGCTTGCGCTCTTGGGATGTATAGGTGGTCCATGTCTCGCTCCCGTATAGTAGTGTACTGATGACACAAGCTCGATAGACGCACAGTTTGGTTTTCTCCGTTAGCTTGGTGTTTTTCCAGACCCGTTTATTTAGTTTAGCCATTGTGGCAGCTGCCTTGCCGATTCTGCTGTTAATTTCTTCTTCAATGGACAGTGTATTGGAGACCTTGGACCCCAAGTAGGTGAAGCTGTCCACAACCTCCAAGTTTTCATTATCGATTTTTATGTTAGGTGGAGGTCGAGTGTCTTGGGCCATGATGTTTGTCTTTTTCAAGCTGATTTGCAGACCAAATTCTTTGCAGGCATTGGAGAAGCTTGACACGAGTTGTTGCAAACCAATTTCTGTGTGTGCTGTTAGTGCCGCATCATCCGCAAATAGTAGCTCGCGAATTAGGACATCTGTCGTTTTGGTCTTGGCTCGGAGGCGGGCAGTGTTGAAAAGTCCTCCATCAGCTCTGGTGTGTAACCAGATTCCCTCACTGCTATCCTTGAATGCGTATCGAAGTAATACAGAGAAGAATATTGCGAACAGTGTTGGTGCGAGTACACAACCTTGTTTAACTCCACTGCTGACTGGAAAGGCTTCTGACTTGGCTCCATCGAACTGCACTGTACCCTGCATATTTTCATGGAACTCTCTGATGATGGCAAGTAGGTGAGGGGGACAGCCGATTTTTGCCAGTATTTTGAATAGCCCGTTGCGACTGACGTAATCAAAGGCTTTTGTAAGGTCCACAAACGCAATGTACAGTGGCATCTGCTGCTCTCTGAATTTTTCCTGGAGCTGTCGTATGGAGAACACCATGTCTATGGTAGACCGCCCAGACCGGAAGCCGCACTGAGATTCTGGATAGACACGGGATGCTAGACTCTGTAAACGTGTTAGTATATATATATTTGTAGAAGACTTGATGACCAATCTGGAGAACCACAAGCAGACTGACGTGCTAGTAATGGACTTCGCAAAAGCATTTGACCGGGTGAATCATAGTTTGCTTCTACACAAACTCCAGATATATGGGATTCAAGGCACCACTAAAACATGGATCTCTAGCTTCCTCAGCCACCGACGCCAAGCAGTGGTGGTGGGCGGTACAAGCTCCTCCTTTGTCAATGTGAAGTCAGGGGTCCCCCAGGGATCAGTCCTGGGCCCCTGTTTGTTCCTAGCATACATTAATGACCTACCGGAGAAACTGACATCACAGGCAAGACTGTTTGCAGATGACACAGCAGTGTATAGGACGATCGCCAACAGATCTGACCAGGACCAGCTACAACAGGATCTCAATCTGTTAGCTGAGTGGGAGATGAGCTGGGACATGGAATTTCACCCTGCCAAGTGCCAGACACTATCAATCTCTAGAAGTTGTACTCCTCTACACTACCAATACAAACTGCACGGCCATATTCTTGAGCAAGTTTCCTCCGTAAAGTACCTGGGTGTTACCATTCAAAGAGAGGTCCGCTGGGACGAGCATATTAACAATGTATGTAACCAAGCAAACCAAGCCTTGGGGTTCTTAAGGCGAAATCTAAAGATTGGCAACTCCTGTGTGAAAGAAAGAGCATATAAAGCCTTTATCCGTCCGATTTTAGATTATGCATCTTCAGTCTGGGACCCATTTACCCAGAAGAGCATTGACAGGTTGGAGGCGGTCCAGCGACGAGCAGCACGCTTTGTCCTAAACCGCTACAGGAATACCTCTAGTGTTGGCAGCATGCTAGAAACACTAGGCTGGTCACCATTGGAGAAACGACGACGACAATCCAGGCTCTCCATGATGTACAAGATAAATAATGGGCTGGTCCACTGTTCCAGTATTAAACAGAAACTCGTCCCTCTCCCCCATAGACAGCGACGAGGCCATGACAGGCAATTCAGGCTCATACCAGCAAGAAGCCAGTATAGGAGCTGCTCATTCCTGCCCAAGACAATCAGGGACTGGAACCATCTTTCAAAAGGAACAGTTGAGGCGACAACACTAGACACATTTGTGTCTATTGCCTCAAGCCTTCAAACCCCTAGTGCATAATTTCCTCATCACCACCAGTAACAGAAACATTGCAAATCCCATCTACATGCATAGGAGCCAAAATGATCAATAAATTGATCGTGGGCCCTTAAGATATAGAAGAAGAAGATATATAGATAGATAGATGGATAGATAGATAGATATAGATATATAAATACTTATTAATACATATTAATCATCTATCTATCAATTATTTATGTAAATTTTTTTATATTTATATATATATGTATGAGTGTTTGTGTGTGTGTATGTTCTTGTGTGTGTGCATGTGTGTCTGTCCCTATGTCCGACTGTGTCGGTCTGTCGGATGGCCGGCAAAAAGGTATGTAAATATGTTAGTTTTTTTTAAATGTCAGGTAATCCATCCTTCTAACTACCTATCGGTCTATCACTCCATCCATTCATTCACCCACCTCCAATCTTATCAATGTACCAACCTCCTACAAATCTATCTTCCATTTAACCGACCCAACCTATCTAAATCTACACACATCACCAAAGCCCTAGTATCACTGCATTAAACAACGGAAAGGAGATAGCACAACTTTCAATGGCGTAAAGGCTCTTCCCTTTCCCGATGGGATTCCGGTCCCATGGGATTCCGATCCTCTGGATCCCAATAGCGGTGGGATTCCTAACCTGTCGGTATTCCGATCCCGGTCGCATCGCTATCCCTGTGGGATAAAAATATCGGTCGTGTCCCTGTACTAGTGGAGTC